TTTTCTGGTTGCTTGATGAGTACTTGCAGAAATCTAGCTCTTAAGTGTCCAAAAGAGTGTGGGTCTTAAGTGTGGACACATGCAGAGACCATATTTCCCTGGGATATTCTTTCTTTTTGTTTCTTTTGATAGATTGGGTTGACCTAGAAGTGGAGGAGTGTTCTGCCAGCTGACACCCTTCCCTGCTGAGGGGGCTACTGGTTCTATGAGGTCAAACTCTAAGGGATTGACTAGAAAAACTCCTGTGTGCTCCAGATAGCTTAAATCTCTCTTTAAAAGACTCAAATCCCTTAGTCTTCCATCCTAAACAGTGTGCCAGAGGGGATGCGTTTGCATCAAATCACCAAGTACGCTTTTTAGCCAAACTGAATAGCTCAGAGTTTCTTGTGACTTCCAGATAGCCTAAATCTTTCTTTAAAAGAGGGATTTGTTTACGTGAAACCCTTAAAATTACCTTGGTACAGCTTTGATAGTTTTATTAGGGAATGGCTGGAGGTTGGAGGGGATAATGCGTGTACTAATAGTCGAGCTGGAACTCACACCAGGTTTTAAGATGGTTAGATCTAGTGTACGTGCTATTATGGCAGTACCGCATTTGTAGAATACCGTATCCTCAACCGGATACTGTATACAGTAGTAGAAAGACTACAGTACTCCTGACAAACGTCTTCCTGGAAGGCACACTACGTTTTAAGGCAAAGATTCGATCATCAAATTAGATTCTTCCAGGGTGGGGGGTAGGGCGCCACCTCCTTTCGGGGATAATTCGGGGTTTCTCTGTCCATCCACTCCGCCATCCCATTTCCCTAATGGGATCTCATCCCTTTCCTCCTCGGCCTCAAAAACAACACCATTATTCCAAATGGGGGTCACAAATTAGCGCATATTATTTGATGGCCTTGTTCTTTGTCGGCTACCGCACTACAAAAAATTTGATGCTAGAAAAAGGGCTCTTACAGTTGATTTAATCAACTCAAAACATAGTGTGACTTCCAGAAAGCAGCTTGGTCTAAGCACTGTACCATCCTCACTACCGGAATACAGTACCCGGCCAGAGTACGGTACCGTACTACTTCCGGTACTAAAAGTGCTCTTGCAGCTGATTTAACAAACTCAAAACATAGTGTGACTTCCAGGAGGCGGCCCTATCCGGTATTCGGCTGCATGGTGTCGGCCCACTCATCGCCGTCTCTCCATCATCTCATCTATCCGATCTCACTCTCCCACCACCACTCGACATTCATCATTTCGCTCAATGGCCACAAGAACATCAACAACAACAACCATTCCATCAGCCACATCATTTGGTGAGACATAAAGAGATACGGTACTATAGTTACAGTAACCCAGCTACAGTAATCTCGGCTGGTAAAAAACAATAGAACAGACCCTGGAAAACGGCTAAATACCTACTGTGCGCTCCAGAATACAGTTTCTTGAACTTAAATTAGGCTACTACAGTAGTCCTGGTACAGTAATCCTTGGCTACAGTAATCTACCGTAACCTCGAATGTACAATATAGTAGAACAGGCTCTGGAAAACGGCTAAATAGCTAGTGTGCGCTCCAGAATGGTGTTTCTTTCAATCATACAGTCGTCTAGCCACCGTAATCCCATACAAATGCCTATTAGAAAGATTCGTTACAGTATCTCTTCTAAAAGAGACTTTACGCAAAAGTTACCGTAGCCAAAACTTTCCCAATCAATCAAAACATTGACTTTTCCCCTAAAGAAGGGTCAAAATGAACGAGGAAATGACAGATTTACAGCCAATGACCGTAAAATTCTCTCAAATAACAGGTGTCACCAAAAAATCGTTGTTTTCTTGAAATCTAAGACAATTTCTTCGATAATTGACCGTTTTCGGAGGCACTTTGCAGAAATTGAGAGCTTTCTGATCGAAAGATGACACTTCGGACAGCTGCATAAACATCCTCGAGGTGTTGAGCCCATTATACAGGTGTCAAAGTGATCGGAGTGCTTTTAGGGGAAGAAAAGCAATTCAGGGTCCCCTGTGCGCTCCAGATAGCATAAATATCTCTTTAAAGTACTTGAATCCTTAGCCTTTCATTGTAAACAGTGTGCCAGAAGGGATGTGTTTGCATCAAATCTCAAAATGTGCTCTTTAGCTAAACTGAATAGCTCAGAGTTGCTTGTGACTTCCAGATAGCTTAAATATTTCTTTAAAAGACTCAAATCCTTAGTCTTCCATCTTAAACAGTGTGCCAGAAGGGATGCGTTTGCATCAAATCACCAAGTACGCTTTTTAGCCAAGCTGAATAGCTCAGAGTTCCTTGTGACTTCCAGATAGCCTAAATATTTCTTTAAAGTACTTGAATCCTTAGCCCTCCATCTTAAACAGTGTGCCAGAAGGGATGCGTTTACATCAAATCTCAAAATGGACTCTTTAGCCAAACTGAATAGCTCAGAGTTCCTTGTGACTTCCAGATCCCCCAAAAAGATCCAGCTCTCCAGATCTCCCTTCAAAACAACCCCAACTTTCAGGCGCCTTTCTCAGAAGATCATCAAATCGGCGTGCCGATCGGACTCCCACCACCAGGGTTCGTCTCACCGCTGCAATTCCCGCAATTCTCTTCCCCATCCCATCATTCTCACATGCATCCCAGTGATTTAGCGTCTCCATCGTGCAGTGAATGATTTTCGTTTTAGAGCAATTTTTGATATGCAAATTTTTAATTAAAATTTTTTATGTAAATTTTTAATCAAAATTTTTTATGTAAATTTTTTTCAAATCTCATTTTTCCTCATAAAAAAAAAATCCAATTTCGCACATCGCAAGCTTGCCAATTTGTCAGAATTTTTTCTTTATTTCTATTTTTTTCTTTTCCTTCCCTTCATCGGCCATATCCCCGTGTTTGTCTGTAAAAAGGTTTTCGTCAAAAAAAAATTTTTTTTGATTTCGATTTCTGAATCAAATAAATATCGGGAACTCTCGTGTGCATTCCAGATCCAAAAAAAACACCTTTCATTTAGCCTAAATTCCCATTCTTACATCGAAAAAGCTCGAGCGCTTGTGCTCCATCGTGAACAAAATGCAAATATTGCCAATGAAAAATGCCAGAGTGAACGCGAATCCCCTGTGCGCTCCAGATGACACTAATCTTATTTTAACTTCCCCAAATCTCCTAGCTACGCCTCTAAAGTGGTGAGCCAGAAGAAATGCGTTTGCGAAAAAGAAGAAATCTCAAAAAAAAAAAGCCTCTTTTACACCTCAACTAAATCTCTGAAAGTCACCCGTGACTTCCAGATCTCCCAAAAATCTTTCTAAATCTTAGAATCTATTGTTCCATCGTTTACAATCACTCCCAAATTGTGATCGATTGTCGGCGGGGGTGTTCAAAGGGATTGAAAAGGTCTCTTTCCGCTCATTTCCACACTCTGTCACCTCACAAATCCGTCAAATTGATCGATCAGCTGACTTTTAACGGCAAAAAAAAAGCGCTAAAATCTTCTAAACTTTTGCCTACAGCAATGAAATTCTTAAAGAAAACTTTGAAAAGTCAAAAAAAAAATTGCAAAAAACGGCAAAAAAAATAGGAAAATTGGGAAAAATCGTCGAAAAAAACATCGACAACTGACTCAATTTTCAGTCAATTTTATTTGCTTTTAGAGGAATTTTGAGAGGAAATTTACGATCACTCGTTTAACCCGAAGAAAATCGAAAGTATTCTTTGCAATTTTGAGCCTTCAAAAATTGAGGATTTTTGAGAAAATTGAGGAAAAATTCCCGAAAAATGGGTTGATTTAAAAGAAAATTTCAAAGCAGAGCACGAAAAAACGTTGATTTTTTGCGGTGATTCTCAGCTGAACGCGGCTTCGCAAAAGCTTCGAAAATCGGCACAGCCGAACCACTCCGATCAGGGCTCGTTCTGTCTAGGTCCTTCACGAAAAACCTCTTCCAATGCACGATCTTCCTTCCTAGCGAGTGATAGAGGACATTGTTAGCACTTCCAGCACTTGGAAAATGTAATTCGGACCGTTTATAACTGCAAAAGGGAGCGCTTAGTTTTGGAGAATGTTTTTGGAGAATGTTTTTGTAAAGATGACGATCCATTATATGCTTTATGTGGTACAGAGGTGCCATTCTTTCAGCTGATAGACATCCCCATACAAGACGAGAGCCGCCACCATGACAGTAGGCAATTGATATTGGGGATCGATTCGTTTGCCGATCGGCATGCTTCTTTTAAAACCAAATCACAAGTCAATCCAATGTCTGTACCTCGAGATTGGAGATCACCGAAAAATACTCTTTTTTTGGATGTGAGTCCTATTCAAATTGCACAGCAAATCCCCCATTTCAGAAAAGTACTAATGCTTGCTGGTTGCTGGGAAAGTAATCCCGTTGATCAACCCGATTTTTCACATTTTCGTCGCCGTTTCTATCGAGAAATGGAGGAAGATTCGGGCAGATATGAATATCTGCAATTCGGGTTGATCAATCGAATCAATCAATCGAATCAATCAATCGATAAATAGATCAATCGAATTCGAGTATTATTTCAGTCAAAACTACGATTCAATTGTGGCAACGAAATGCGTGAAATGATTGACGCAAAGCAATGAAAATAAATCAAAATTGTACATTCGATTTCAATTTCTACCAATCCTATCGAGCGACCAAGGCTTTCAAATGCAGTAGTCAATTACACGGTGATCTTTGGAACCAATCCTAGGGAAGGGAAGACTTGAGAAGCTTGGCATCGTGGTAGAAATCCTTCGAAGGTATTACTCGGTGCATTGTGTAAAGCAAAAGAAAAAAATCGCGCAAAAACCCGTATTTATTTGGGGGGAGGAATTCATCAACTTTGGCCTACCGGCCTACCAACTTTGGCTATGAAATGTTCAAGGAAAACTCAAAAAAAAAAAAGGCCAAAAAAATGAGAAATTGGGTAAAACGGGAAAATTTGAAACGTTTAAACGACAAAGGGTTTGATTTTTAAGAAAATAAACAGCAGAGCACAAAAAAGAAATGACTAATTCTTGGGGATTCTCAGCTGCACGCGTCCCCGTTGCAGATCAACGCCGGAAATGGTGACACGGAGCATTGAACCGATCTGAAAAATCGGAAAATTCGCCTCTTAAATGCATTAAATGCATTAAATGCATTAAATGCATTTATCCTTTGAATCTATTCGATTTGCAGATAATAAATAATCGCCAAAATTATAGCAATTATAAAATTTTAAAGTTAAATATGGCAATTTCCTCGAAATTTAGTCCGAAAATCCCTTGGGAAATCATTTCGATCATCATTTAAATGCATTTAGGTGTTAAAAATAGCGAATTTTTGAGCAAAATCACTGAATTTCTGAATAACGCATTTTCTTCGATAATCTTGCATCACAATTTTTGCCAAAAATCAGCTTTTCGGCAAAAAGTTGCTCAAGAAAATCGATGAAAAGTGAAAAAAAAAGCGAAAAATTCGTGATCCAATTGGCATAATATTGGCAAATATTGGCAAATATTGGCAAATATTAGCAAATATAATAGTTTTTGCTCAATTTTTTCAATAATCTATTCGAATTTCGAATATTCTAAGATTTAAATGTTAAATATCAGATATTTATCTTCATATTTCCATATGATATATACCCCAAAGATGACCAAAGATGACTCACCGGTGGCGGCGAGTCTTTTGTCCCAAAAATGAGCCCATCTCGCTCGGCGCCCACGTCAACAAACGTACCAAAATCAGTCTAAAATCGAAGGGAATTGGATAAAATAAAGGAAAATTTGAGTTTTCTGGATAAATCTAGACAATTCTAGCTCAAATTCACATAAAAAAAAAAAATTGACTCACGTTGTTCTGCACTCGTCCCCAAAACGTTTCCCCCACTTGCAACGAGCCGATACTGCGAATTTCTTTCTGAAAATAGCAAATTAGAGCTAAAGCTGCTAGTAAACTTTCAAAACTCTAACTTTTTAAAAAATTTTGTTCGGAAAAGTAGCTCTTTTCTGTGAAATTCTAATATTTAATGTTTTGATTTTGAATATCTCTGATTCTCCTGTCCTTCCCCTAAAGATCGTCTTGTGTGATAAAAGGGACGGAGGCCGCTTTGTATTGCCTTTTCTTTGACTTTGGAACTATTTAGTTTCTGAAAAATGCGCTAAAGTTTCGGTGGCCAAGTGGTAAAGCGTTTTTGGCCGGCAATCCAATTCGTTTGCCCGGAAAGGTCGTTGGTTCGACTCGGCGAGGCGACAAAAGTTTTTGCTTTTATTGGCTTTTTATTGAAAACTCAATCTTTAGCCTTTTTCGGCAAATGGCCGACCTGTAATGGGGGGTGGTGGGGTCAATTCCTGTTCGGCAAGCATCAAATCTCGGACCACTTGCTCGTCTTCGCTCAGATTCGTCAACTAAAATCACAAAATTCGTCGATTTCATCAAAATCTAAAGGTGAATTTTGCCGAAAATCACCCTTTTCAGTGTATCCTTTGCGTCTTTCATCAAAATCTCGCTCGCTTCAACGTTGGCCAAGTTGAGGAGTCTAAAAAAAGGGAAAATTGGAAATTTTTTGGATAAATTTTCTTAAAAGCTAAGATTTTTCGCATCCAAATCTCGGTGATATTCGTAAAAATTTGATTTTCTCAAAAAATCCAACCTTTTTGCCATCTCGTATTGACTTGGATGCACCATTGTGGCGTCAAGTGGATCCGTTTCTCCACTTTTCATCGATTTCTCGATTTTCTTTCGCTTTTTCACCGGTTCTTCTCCATTTCCTTCGTCTTCTCCACGATTTCCATCAGACAAATCTTTTTGATCGATTATCAAGAAGCCAGCGCACTAAAGAAACAAAATTTGAGCTGAATCGTTTAATCTTAACTTTGACCTAGGACAGAATTGGCTTCATAGTATTGGCCAGAATTAGCCTAGCTTTTCCTGCTGCTTCTATTTGGCTTTGAATGGCTGAAGGTTGCCACCGCACCTGTTCAAAAGCTTTCTCTCCCAATCCTTTCACTTTTCGAAGCGCTTCCCGGCTGCCGATCGGCTCCTTTTTGCGAAGGCTCACAATGCCAGCAGCTGTCGTCTTGTTCAAGCCACAAACTTGTCTAAAACTGTGCGATAACTCTGGGGGAAATCGTTTCTGCACTTACTGTAGCAATTGCACTGACGCTTTATTCACATTAACACCCCGTAAAGAGACGGCTTCACGCACCGATTCGCGTAACGCCTCAGCTAAACGCTTCTCGGAGACAGAGTGCTGAAAGATTTGCATTAAATTCATATACAAATTGAACTTAAAAGCATGAAATCCAATTTTAAACCCAATAAAAGCTTAGAGAAACCAATTCCATACTTGATACATGCCCAATCCCAAGTGTTGCGGCTCGATTTTCACATATTCCCCCATTGGATCGAGTAGGCGGCGGCCAATCGATACTGAAAAAGGTATTTGATCGATTTCGGTAACAGATAAAGTTTAATGCTTTAAAGCTTTAAGGTCTCCTTATCAATATGTACTTTGATCGATCTCAACAGCTCACCCACCGGCACTTCGAAGAGTTGGCGGCAGTTTTGGTAGCTCCTCTTCAGCCAGAGGAGTCACACTATACTTTGAGGCACCATTCTCGGGAACGACACTGAAATTAATAAAGAATCATTTAAATCAGACCATAGTACGGTTCTAATTACAGCCTAAGCAAGCTATAGAAAAGCGTCGCGTAGTCTGTAATTGCCGCACCAGTTCGTAGAGCTTTGTACTAGTTCATTAGTATATCCACTACTCTACGGTACTTTGCATTCACGTACATCACTATAGACTAATTTCATATACTAGTACAGGTACAGGTACAGATACAGGTACAGGTACAGACCATTATTAAGGGATAATTCAGAGTCCCTTAATAATGGTCTGTACCTGTACCTGTACCTGGACTCTTGTAGTCTTTTGCTTACGAGCTAAGACAGGTCTAAAGATCTCTCTAAAGATCATCTAAGTCCGATTTAAGTCCGATCTAAGTCCGATCTAAGTCCAATCTAAGTCCGTTCCAAGCCCTGTCACATCATATTCTCAAAATCCCACCAGAATCGCAATCCACTTCCCCGTTTTTCCTTGATAAACCTCGCCACTGCTTGCTGGGTTTCTTTCGAGGCAGCGCCGTTGCCGATCGCGATCGCCGTTTGTTTTCCGTGCACTCGGTGGCACCTAGAAAGGAGTAATCAATGAAATAATCAATGAAATAATCAATCAAACCCAACAGTATCCAGTAAAAGTATCTCTAAATCCAAAATTTGACCCTAGTCACTCCATTTCTCATAGTATCCACATAGTTAGATCTATAAAACTATCGACAGTACCCAATCTACAGTACCCTATCACTTTAAATCCAAATCCAATCCCAAATATCTAATTTTTCTCATAGAATCCATGTGAATCTATCTGCTAAATTATCTACAATACGCAATTCTCAAAAATCCCAAAAACTCACCATTCCCCGATCCGTTGCAGACACTCCTTCGTGAATTCCCCGCCCCGAAAGGGCGTCTCGAAAGTGTCGATCACCTGGAAATCGGAGAAAACATTTTAAAAAAGTTAAAAACCATTCTAATCCACTAAAAACTCATCGAATTCAATATCTAGATATGTTTTTTTGAATCCAAAAACCCCCACCTCTCCCAGTGGACTTAAAAAGGCCAACTTGCACATCTTGTAGCCGGGATCGAGGGCTGAAAAAATGCGAGAAATTGAGTGAGATTTTGAGAATAATATAATGATCTAGATAATCAAGATAATCTAGAGAAATATGCAAATTTCCCTCACCAATAATGTGATATCCGATGAGCGGTGATTGGGCGAAAAGCTGACGGAGATTTCGCGCAAAACACTCGATGGCAGCCCGCTCGGCGCGTTGCACAAGGAATCTGGAAAAGAAGAAGCTCGATCATAGTACCGTACTCTAATTACAAGATAATCAAGACAAATACCTTCTATGAATCATTCAATAGCTTTAATAGCTTCAATAGCTTTAATAGCTTCAATAGCTCCAATAGCTTCAATAGCTTCAATAGCTATCATTCAATAGCTTGAATCTCTCAAGTTTTAACTATAAACAAGGCTTTTTAGTTATCATAGGCTTCAAGAATTCTCAAAAAACGAGTATTTCCTTAACTAGATCACCTTTCAAGAAGAGAATTTGTCTAAAAGTGCCTAAAAGTGTCCAAAAGTCGCCTTTTTGACGCTATTTCTATAGAAATCAAGTCTAATTTCCTATTAAAATCCCTATCTAGATAGGAAATTTTGCATAAAATTCGCATAACCAACCTCCTGACGGCACGCTGCAGGCGTGGCTCGAACAACCGTGTCACCGAGTCGTTCAGGGCATTCTAAAAAAGAGAAATTTGCTTGTAAATTGTATCGAAAATGCTATTTTCATGTTATTATTATTAAGAAAAAAAAATGATTAAACTCGACTAAACACTCCATTTTTAATCAATCTTAAATGAAATTTGCGTTTAAAAGCATTTCAAAGCATTTCAAAAGCCGCCATTTTATCCGTTTATCCTTAGAATTTGCATAGGCTCATTGCTAATCATTTAAAAGCTACCAAGAAAATGCATTACTTGAAACAATTGCACATGATTTTGATGAACTTTCCAGAAACGCAATGGGTGCTCTTGCAGAGGATTGTCGATTTTGAGACTCCACGTGAGTACACCACGCTCTTCTCCCCGTTCAAGTGCCAAGATCTAGAAGGAACATTGAAGATTTACTTGAAAATAGTCTCCAGATAAGCTTTATCGCATTTTTAACGATAAACAAGTCTTTCCCGCACCTGATGATTGTGAATTTGTAGTACACCAGCGCTGAAATTTATGTAGCTTTGAAAGTTGGCGATCTAAACAAAGAGCGTTTTGTTTTTTTTGTGATTTTTGATTCTATTTTGATCAAAGAACGATTGGGTTAGCTTAAATCAAATTTCACAAAGCTTTTGTCGACTCGCGGAATCGAACCCTCAACCCCCAGCTTGAGAGACCAGCTCGCTATCCACTGCCCCACCAGGAACTGTTGATAGATTTGTTATCTGATAATTTCCATAAATTCTGTGCGTTCCAGCTTAAAGAAATACTCATTTGTTGCCTTGAAATTTGTTCATTTTAGCTGAATTACTGAGAGAAACGTGATCCTTCAAATAATCCAATGAAACTAAAAGACTTAAGCTTTCACAAATGGTTATTCCTAAAATCTGGAGCGCATCAAATGTTTAGCGGTACTCAGTGAAGAAAAATAAACACATATCTTGGTGGCCAAGTGGTTAGCACGCTCGTCTCTCGCTCTAAACCTCAAGGGTTCGATCCTCGAAGCCGCCCGAGATTTTTATTTTTTCAAAAAAACTCACTTGCTCATATAATCCATCACCATTGACAGCTTTTTTCGCTTTCGCCGAGAGTTGTCCTTGCACAAAGATGCGTGCTTTCGTCTCCAAGTGACTAATTTTCTGTACGACTTCGGCTAAAATATGTAAAATATTATCGAAATTACTGAAATCTCCAATAAAATCCTCAAAATTTATGCCAATTTATGCAAATTTATGCAAATTTACTCGTTTTCGTTTGTTTATTGATGATATGAGCCAAAAGATTCGATAAATGTCCCTCAATCGTCTTCAAATCTTTCAAATCTAAAGAAATTTGCTCAAAAAAAAGGTTATTTAGTTAAGGAAATTGTTCTAGAATTATCAAAATCAATCAATCAATCAAAATCAATCAAAAAAAAAATCAATGAAATCCCACCTTTCTTGTCAACGAATCTCATCAAATTCAACGATTTTCCATTAAAAATTTCGATTGCTGCAGGTTCAAGACCGAGTTCTCTAAAAAAAAAAATTTGAATTTTTTTTTGCTTCAATTCTCCACTTTAGTTCTCTTTAATTACCCAATTAGCCTTCTTTTATTATATTTTATTATATTTCTATTCTATTTAACAATTAGCGGTTCATTTACCCCAAATGAATAGTCTAATTTCAAACAACTTTCGATCATTTTATAGAAAAAAATGGCATTTCTTAACGATCATTAACAGTAATTAGCTGAAATTGATCAAAAAAAAAAAAAGTCGCAACCAAATATTTCAACCATTTCAGTCGCAACCATTTCAGCACACATTTCCCTGAGAACTTTCACTTTCAAATTGCCGACTAGCTAACGTTTCAAGCTTTCGAATGAACTCTCAAACGATGGAGTAATATTGTAAAGATGCATATGTTTCGATCATTCGATCATCGATCATTTTTTGAGGGTCATTTTTTTGGAAGTAGAATCGTCATTTATCGTCAAGCATCTCTACGATCGACCGATCGTAGAGACGTAGATTAAATCGTTCAAAATCCAATCCAATTCAGTTCAAAATCCAATTTCGGTTCAGTTATCCAACTAATACACTATTGTTAATCATAATCATTCACCCACTTAGCCACTCCAGCTTTCGTCGTTTTCTTTTCAGCGAATTGCTTGGTGACCGAGAGGATTTCCGATGAGTCACGAGCCTGGAATTGGAAAAGAATTTACTTCTGATCTTCTGACAACAAATTATGATCAATATCTAGATCAATATCTAGATATTCATAGTAATCATCAAAATCACCAAATCTACCTGATTCAGCGCCTCGATCGCCTTTCTCAGCTCATCGCCTTCAGTTTTCGAGCGAATTTGCGTGATCGCCTTGGTGACTTTCTTCTCGAGTTCTCTGAAAATAACAAAAAGCTCATAAAGATTCATTTTTCAGTTCTAAATTTCAGCATTAAATTTGGTTGGAAATGTTAATTTTTACATTGAACAAAACCCTTACTTGGCATTTTTATAAGCTTCAAACGATTTGCGCACCTCTTCACACGTCATATGACCAGTTTGAGTGACACGATAACGAGCGACGAATGGAACCTGAAGAAAAAGACAAATTCAACAGGTTAAAGCTTACATGTTAAAGGTCACAAGGTTAAAGCTTCTTCTAGTTAGCTAAGATTACGGTAACTAGGTGATTGGTCCACACCTCCACGACAATACTAATGACGTTCCAATACGGTTCCAATACGGTTCCTGTTCTGATCTAATACGGTTCCAATACGGTTCCAACGGATGCCACCCCACTGTCCCATCACAAGCATCCAACCACCCTCCTGTCCCATCACAAGCATCCAACCACCCTCCTGTCCCATCACAAGCATCCAACCACCCCACTGTCCCATCACAAGCATCCAACCACCCTCCTGTCCCATCACAAGCATCCAACCACCCTCCTGTCCCATCACAAGCATCCAACCACCCCCCTGTCCCATCACAAGCATCCAACCACCCCACTGTCCCATCACAAGCATCACAAGCACGGTTCCTATTTTGATCTAATACGGTTCCAATACGACTAATTGACGATTAGTTTCTAAAGATTCGTTCTTTTTCATTTTCGTTCTTCATTTCACAAAAAAAAAAGTTCTCGGCTTTGTATTCAATTTCAAGATGAAATTCACGACTAATCGAATCATAGTTTACTTTAGAACTCTAATAGTTTCGTTTCTAATAGTTTCGTTCTTTGAATTTCCATCAAATTCTCACTAAAACAGTAGCGACTATGTGATTGTACCGAGAAAATACCATTTTTAAAAAAACCCCACCTCACAACCCTCATCGAAAAGCTTGCAGACGCGTCTGGCTTGATCCCGATCGAAGCCACACTGAAAAGAAAATGAAATTAACACTGCTTTACACTTTAAATATCGTAAAAATGGTTAAAATGAGCACGTTTTTGCTTCTCTCGGCTAATTCAAAGAGAAAAAACTCGATTTTTAACCCCATAAAGCTATGGATTCTCTCAAAATACTCAAATTTCGTGGCTTTTAAGCGAATTTTCGATAGAATATGTGAATTTAAGGGGGAAAAAAAGAAATAAATAACTCAAATCCACCTGTTCAGCCACCAAATCCCCGACACTCCAATCGACAAACGAGACGTCACACGACGAGCTCTGGGTCATCTAAATCCAAAGCATAGCATTCATAGCATTCATAGCATTCATATCTAACATTTCAACATTAGCATTCATATCCAACTTTTAGCAAAAAAAACATCAAAAGACAACAAAAAGTCGGAGAAATCGTTAGTTTCGTCTTCTTTCCCAAAAAAGTGTGCCGGAAAGCGCTCAGGTGGATGATTTTGACGTTCATTGAGAAATTTCTCATTTCTTCTCGAAATTCTAGCTACCTGGTTAGGCATTTTCAACAAAAATTACTCAACTCAGCCAAAATTAGCCAAGTTAAAGGGCTCAAAACGATGCCTAGAGTCAATAAAACCAGTCTAAAACGACTCTTTGTCGGGGAAAAGCGAAAAAAAAATGGTTAAAAGAGAGAAAAAGAGGTTAAAAAAGAGAAAAGTTGCTGAATTTTTATCTTTTCATTGAGTTGACCACGTGGCGCAGTGGGTTTCCGCTCGTTGATCGTCGACCGGAGGGTCGCTGGTTCGATCCGCGGTGCGGTCAAAAGTTTTGTGCAAAAATTTAGTCTTTCTTTTCCTCATAGCTGCTTTGAAATGATTTAAACGCTAAGCTTTCCTTTTGAACGATTTTCACTTTAGACAACTGTATCAAGAGGAAAACTTGGAGTTGGAGTTGGAGCGTCGTCAAGCCAACGCTGTCAAATAGCATGACGGAGAAAGAGAAACGAGAAATGACGATGATTGGGAAGAGAAGGAAGCGTAAAGGAAGCGTAAAGCGTAAAGGAATGCGAGAAAACGATTCAAAAAGTGAATAAATGAGATTTTGCAATGATTTTTGGCTTTTTTTGTGCTTTTCAAGTTTACAAGTCAAACTTAATTGCCTTAAAACTTTCAAAAAAAACGTTTATCGCCGAAATTCTGCCAACTATTCGCTGTTTTTGGGAGAAATTTCCACTTTGGAGTTTAGAATTTCAGTTTAGAAAAAAATTTCAACGTTTCGACGAAAATTTGCCTCAAAACCCTTTCCAACACCAAAATATTTCTCATAAAAAGACTCAATCCGATCCAAAAAAGTCGCACTTTAGCAATTCTAACACACAAAATTGTCTAATAAATTTATTCAACTACCTTTAAAACCCCAGAAAAAAATACCAGATAGAATAAAATTTCACCGAAAAAAAAGGAAGCTAGTAACTGTAATTGGCTATGGGAAAACGCGTCAAATTCTATCACAAATGAATCAATTCTATTCAAAAAAAAGCTTACAAATATAAAGACTACGATAAAAAAGGTTTTGGCAAAAGATTTGCGAAGAAAGACCGAATTTTGCAAAAACTTTCGACGGCACCGGGGATCGAACCAGGAACCCTCGGATCGGCGGTTAGCCCGTCGACCCGCTGCGCCACACGGTCAACTCGAAGAAAAACGTCAAAATTCGGTCATTTCCTCAGAAAAAGCATGAAAATTGTAAAATCACATATAGAAAATAGGTATTCCACTAGAACAAACACATTCTACAAAGATAAAAGCGAAAAAAAAAGAGATCTTGTGTTCTTCTCGCAAATTCAGCAAACATTTTTGTTGAACTCCTCCCGTTTTTGTCAATTTTGACTCAATTTTATGGAGTAGATGGTGTTTTTTTTTTTTGCAAAAAAAGAGCATTTAGGTGGAATTTGTGAAGAAATTTGATGAATCCCAGGGTTTTGTGCGGGGCTTCTTCCAAAGAAACGCTTCTTTTTGTTGTTGCACAATTGTTGGGGCTTTGATGGTGATGGGTGAAACGAACGAACGAACGACGTGTTGTTTACACCGCACGCATCTGAAAAGTGATGAAATTAGTCTTTTCCACCGTACACCAGCTCTTATACAACGTACTGTAGCATATTTTACTTTAATCTACACCAAGAAATCGTAGTTCTGTACTGGTCAAGGGTTTATTCTCAAGTGAATGTTAAGAATACTATTCTTAGATCAATTCTTAAACCTCTCAAAGCACTCACCAAAAGAGTAAAGTTGAGTGGGCGAATGTTTCTGTTGTCATTCACACCCAGGCGGTCCATCCCTCGTACATCAACGAGAGATTCGAGAGCGATGTGGCCGAGCGAATCCATTGATCGACCTGCAAAAGAACGATATAGATGGAATTGACAAATGTACTGGAGTTGACTAACACAAGCAACTTTTTCAAACAGCACAAACAATTTTCAAAATCGTTTACCTGTTCCTGTATCGTGAAGCATTTCATCGGCTCATTCCCATCGATTCGCCCATCTAAACGCGCTTCCACCTTCCGGTTGACACTTCTCGCGTACAGGTTTTGCTGCTGTTTCTGCTGCTCACCGGGTGTCGTATCTAAAAATGAGAAGTTCGCAGTTAAATTCGTTCGCAGCTAAATCCTCAACGATCAAACCTTCAAATCCAGGTGGTGCCATGAAATTCGTCGGTGAAATCGTCGAGCTTTGTGCAGGGACAATCGGAGCAGCGCTGTCCAACGACAAAAGTCCATCGTAGACACTAAAAAGAAGGATGGTTAATCGTTTGAATTCTGCTTCACTTTCGACTAGCCTTATCCCAGCCTGGCTAGCCTTAGCTTTTGCTTGCTGGGTTGACTGACCGACTATCGTAAACGTCTAACACTCACTCATTGATCGTCTCGACCACCGAGCTCAACACAGTGATTGCGAGCAGGAAATTTGACGGAATCGACTCCATCGCTTCATGCGCTTTCACCACTCCATCAGCGAAACGTTCTCGGTATTTCTTCGTGTACGCAGAGAAACGCGGGTCACACTAAAAATGTCATAATGTCATAAATGTCATAAATGACACTGTATGTCACAAAACATTAAACTCACCGCTGAAAGTGCCCTCAACAATTGCCGGAAGTTCTTCATGATTTGATGGTGTGCATGAATTGCGGCTTTCATTCGCTGCAGAGCCTCGTTTCGGCTCTAAAATGTCTAGGTTAGTTCAAAGATTCAGAAAAACTCGTGAAGCCGTTTATGAGTTAGATTTTAAGATTTAAAGATCGTCAAACCCAACCTTTTGCAAAGCATGAGCTTCTTCAAGCGGTGATTGCACGTCGAGTTTTACCTCGTAGTTGATCGTGGCGATGAGATGCTGAATGGCTTGTGTGAGTTCGATTCTAAAACGAGAAATTGATATTTATAAAAGAAAAATAAAAATAAAATAATATCCAAATCCACCGTACTTGTTCTCTTTCCACGGTGTCGCAAATTCGCGAACTCTCACGGCGAACATTTGTCGAGCAATTGGACGAGCGCCGGCAGCTCGTGAATCAGTGCCTAAACAAAGTCTTTGAAAGTTTAGAACCAGCCAGGCCTAGCCATTTAACCAGCAAGCAATGCACTCTGGTAACTATAATGCTTCAGATCCAAGTACTTAAAACAAAAATTTCTCACCGTAAACCGCTAACGCCACAGCCACATTCACCGAGCCAACAGCGGCGCTTGTCGTCAAATGATCGTGAGCAGCGGCCCAATCGACGAGCGGATCATATACAAAAGCATCGAGCACCGTCAGAAGAACCTAGGAATTGATCGATAGGCTGATAAATCCAAAAGTACTATTTAGCCAACCACAGTAACCACACAGGGAACCAAACCTTTTTGCCTGTGCGGAACACATCGAGTGCTTGTTGGCACGATTGCTGGAACATTCCATCAATCTGAAAGAAAACTTTGTATCGAGTTGACCAAATTGAGCTCAAACTAGTACTGCTTTCAAAATTATCCAAACCCAAATATCTCACCTGCGTTGGTCCAAGCGCGTGCACGATATTCGGCGTCAAACGGAACGGCACTGTTTCAGGGACTCGCAAGTGGCGACCCTAAAAAGTACAGTAATCCTAGTGCAACCATCCTAGTGCAGTCATCTCAGTCCAGTAATCCCCTGCCTACCCTTGATCATCAACCAACTCACCTTATCAAAGCAAACATTGTAGTCGATGTGGACCATCTGGCCAGAGTCGAGATTCACCAAAAGATTGTCGAGATGCCGATCGCCCAATCCAAGAATTGCGCCTAAACCGGTGAATAGTTGAATGGACGAAAAATGGCCTTCAAGAATGACCTTGGTCCAGAATGGCAAAATGGCTGTCAAACAGATTGGGGTTAACCCTATAATTCACTCACCAATGATGCTCATCACAGCCGAACTCCGCGCCATTCTTGACGTCACGCGCCACCACGTGTCCGCACTACCCGCACGCATCCACAGTTCCCTGAAACAGAGGTTGGCCATTTTGTGAGCCTGAAAACCAAAACAACTCATCATTTACTCACTTTGCCAGCAAATCATTCGGCGTCTCTTTCATCAACTCCAGCAACACATCGCGAAGAATCGTTTTTGGCCATTTCGAGCGATCACCGTACACTTCCGGGGCGATTGTCTAAAAGACATGTTATTTAAAGAAATTTACAGTACAAGAGATCCGTAAATAATTAACAAAACTAACATTTTCCTTGAACGAGGCCCTCAACTTCTTCATGAACATATCGGTGGGTCGTTCCAAAGGCGCATTGTTGTTGAGCGTCGCTTGACCGGCTTTTCGATTGAGAAGCGTCTTTGTTTGCGCCTGAACACGGAGGAATTTGAGGCACATTTTGAGGTACTTGGGAGTAAAAGTTTAGAATAAAAGTTCTAACATTCAACAACGAACAATCTCAGTGAATCCGTATCTATCACTTTCTTTATCAAGGCTCGCAGTAAACTTTCACAAATACCTGTCGATTCTGCCATCGGCGATAGAGTTGAAAGAGCGGCGTGCACCCGATCACCCATTGGATGAGACCCGAGCGAGCGCCCAGCGGAGTCACCGAGTAGTTCAACGCCTCGTACAGTGGCCAGTCTCTAAAAGTACACTTATAGGCTGCTTAAATCTCAAGTATCGTTTTCAAAAAAAAAACCGTAAGGAAAACCCGAGTTTCTCTTACCATTTAAGCCTAATTATTCACAATTATCGTAAGATTCACTACAATAGCTTACAGCTTACAATTACCGTGAGCTTAAAATTACCGTAAGCTCTTAACGCTTCAAGCACCCACCCCTGCAACTCTTTCGCTCCGCGTAGCATCAAATTGCAAATGTGCAACAATTGCATGATTCGCTCGTCCAAGTGTAAGTCCTCTTGCCCTTTGAAGAGGAAGATGTTTCTGAAAAAAAAGAGATAAAACTTTGATTTTTAACAAAACCCAACTCTTTTCCATTGGATCCAATCAAAATCAGCTTCTTTGGACGGGTTTTCGTCGGCAACACCCAAGCCGTTTTGCCCAAACGATCGAGGTAACAGATCTAAAAAGGGTAAATTATTAAAAGCCAGTAGAAAATTGGTATCGTTATCATATTAAGGTTGCTAAAATTAAGGTTTCAAAGTGTCACCTCAGCAAAATCGATCGCTTCTTGACCGGGGATTGGAACTTTTGAGCCATTTAGCTAAAAAACAAAAGATTAATTGAGACTTTGAGCAATTCAACGCTTTAGGTTATTGCTTTCAATGCTTTCAATGCTTTCAAAACAAGTCGACTAGTTAGAATTTTTCTAAAAATGTACCTTTGACAGCTTCTCACTGATGTCCTCGATTTGCAGGGTGGAATTGGTGCGCCGGGCGGTCTTCTGGATGAGAGCGGCCAGTAGCTGAAGTTTAACATGTAAAAAGGAAGGCAAATTGATAGCCAGCCACCTATTTTGATGATTGACGTTAGGATATCGGCATAAAGTTCGACTTTAAATCATTTTAAGTACCGGTAAATACGGTAAGTGTTTAAGTACAGTTACGATCAAGCAAGGTACTCAACCTGGTGCCAGAGTGCCAAAGATCAAGTTTTTTATGTGATCTACCGCTCTGTCTACCAGATTTAGCCGTAAACCTAGTTTCTTGGGTCTAAACTGCACCCTAGCTTTGCTGAAGACCTAGTCTGGCTTCAATCCAGAACAAAAGTCCCTGGGGGTCTGCCAGAAGCAAGGCTTGGACCAGACTTTTGACCTCACCAGACCCTAGCTTGACTTTCTCCAGAAATCATCAATCACTCACTTGTCTAAACGGTGCCCACGCTTTCTCGGGATTCGCTCGATTCGCGCGACTCGTCTCAAAAGCGGCCGCAATTTTCTCCTTGTGCTCATCGATGAAGCTCTATAAAACGATAAATTTTGCTCGATAAGAAAAGTCCAGTTTATAGAAACTATCTGGTAAATCTGGTGCCTCGTAATAGTTCTCTCTCTAGTCATAGATTCGGTAAATCTCAAATCAAAATAGTAAAAAACCTTTTCATTGACCGAAGTCGACGTTCTGTTAAGCGTGCGCTCGTACAAATCGTCCAATAGCTCGAAGACCTGAATTTTGAAAGTTAAAAAGGTTAAAGCAGCTTTATCCATGCTTTATCATTCCTCTAAATCACAAATCACTCACCGAATTCGTGATCAATCGCGTTTTCTCTTGAACCAACTCGATGCGCTCCTTTTCGCCGAGGTGAGCCGCCTGAAATGTATGCAGATTGTGCGGAAAGTTACCGTAAACAAATGTAAATGAGTTCTCAAACTTGAACTCAAATTTGAATCTTCAAAGGAATTACTGCAAGTAGCTATACGCTTATAGCTACTTGCAGTAGTAAAATAGTAAACCTTCAACGTTTTCTCCGATTCAGCCCGAATATGCGTGAGTCGTTTCTCCATCTCGTTGTCGATATTGGCCAAGACGAACACCCATCTGTAATCTGCCAATAAAGGACCAGGATCCCCAAAAATCACCTCTCTTCCAATAATAAGTTGATCTTCTGCAACTCTTCGACAAACGATCGCACATCGGAGACCATTTCCGGGTAAAACGAGGCCAACGATTCCTCCAAGCGACGACAACACTCGAACATCAGAGATTTTTCCTGAATACTAGCATAATTCTCGATAATTCTTGAAAAAGTGATGCATTTTAAAGTGATCTAACAGTCGCTTGTCTAACATTTCATTTCGTTTCATTTTGCCAAGCCAAGACAATCAAAAGTGTATCGGTAAAGGCTTAAATTGTCGAAGCCTACCTCTAAATGCGTATCCTGTGCAATCTCGTCATTCGTTTCCACCAAATCCTCAGTTTCCGCGTCCATCAGCATTTGCTTTGAGGCGCCGACGACGATTTGATAAACGACAGTGTGTGGAGAGATTTTGCCTGGAAAAATATCATAATTTTAGAGTTGTTGTAGTTTTAAAAACCTTAGCAATAAGATAATTATGCTGCATTAAGTGGAATTTAGATTCAAAAAACCATTTTCCCCAACAAAAAGTCTATAAATCAGTCGAACTCAATTAAAATCTAGTTATCAAAGTGCGTAGATAAGATTTATCCAAAAAAATCAAGTTCTTTTGTCACTTATGACAGCTTTAACAAACAAAATGTCACTTATGACAGCTTTAACAATCAAAAAAAAAAACGCCCACCAATTCTCTGGATCAACTCGATCAGCGTCTCGCGAACTTTCCTTGACGGATGTGATAGACGGGCAAAGACTTGCGGCAACACGGACACCCACAAAGAGACGTCGGTCGACTGAATGCCATTCTCGAGAATCGAGTGAATGATGTCTTGGTGATGCGCGAGAAGGTCGAGAATTTGAAGACATACACGAACGGTGCCGATGCTCGTCTGAAAGGAAACACTTAAATACACAATCAAGCCGTTAAATAGCTCCTTATTGACCTTTTATTGCTATTGATCGCTCCTTATTGATCTTTTATTGATAATGATCATTATTGATCAACTCATTGATCGATCAATAAGCAAGTCTATTCTGAGGTAGCCTAGCCACCTTTGAGTTGTCCCAAAGTTGACCTTTGATCGGGATTCGAACCCGTGACTGACAAATCGACGTGACTGACAAGCGTGTACATTCTATATTAACTGCTCCAACTCACCCTCATTCCCCGATCGTGATGCCTCAAGAAAGCGAACAACGAATTCGCCCCCATTGTCATCAATTGTCGCCTTCTCTCCAACATTTTCCCCCACATGTTCGTGTAGTAAACGGTTTGTTTGAGTAAACTAGAACAAAATATACAATAATTACCTTTGAAAAGCTCACATTTCAGCCGCACTGGCAAACGTTCCTCCGAGGGCAACGATGACGGCATTTTGGAGTTGCGCCAAGCTGTTACTACTGAAAATCGCTTTCCACAAGGCCTCCAAGCGTTCAGGCGTCGCGATTTCCGGCCCGAGAAGACGCTGAACAAGGACTTTCGTTAGGCAATGCTGATCGGGACAAAAGTTGACCGTTCAAAGTTCGAATTTTAAGCCCAGCTTCAGGTCTAGTTCTTAAAATTGCATTTTCCAATTTTCCTAATCAACTGAACATTCAAACAAAGCCCACTTTCCCAACTTACCGAATAATTCGAGACAAAAAACGCTTGGTCCGAGATGAATGACTGAAGGGACGCTTGCGAGAGAGCCCATTGCGCGAGTTGTTCGTGACTTTTTGCAATTGTTGGAGCACATCTGAAAAGAAACAAAAAAAAAGTGGCAAAAATGGTCTCTAAATTCACTTTGTGGCCATCGACAGCAACGCTCCCACCCAATCGATCGAGCCAATCTCTTGCGTCAACACGCCGAGGTGATTCTGAAAAAAAAGAATAATGTCTCAAAAGGTCAACAAGCTCAAAATCCGCTTGGGAATAGCGATTCTAAACACTTCTTAGCAATGGTTTAAGCTTTTCAAATAAACCAAGGATGTTTCAATCTCAAATTTGCTTGGCCTAGTCAATGATCTGAACTGGGCTGTCAAAGGCCAAGTTCAGGTCTGGTTCAGGTCTGGCTCAGGTCTGGTTCAGGTCTGGTTCAGGTATGGTTGACAGGCTCGTTTGGAACATCCTTGGCTACTGCAAAGTCCTGTAAAGAGGCAGGCAACGTAGCGATTAAGTTGGTAGATCTGACTTCAGAGTTAGAATTTTTAGGATTTGACTCAGTAAGAGCTCTAGGATCGATATTCAACAATCGACAACCAAATAAGTCTTAAGTCTAATCCTGTCCAGTGCTCCCCTTTACAGTATTTTTAAAGCTTTGATGCATTGTGAAAATCGACCATAACTAAATTCCGCAAAAACCCCAAACCACTCACCATGAATACCAATTGTGCAGCCTCCGGGGGCAGTGTTCCGAACAAATCCGGCTCATTGCCCAGCCATTTCGCCAAAAGCATCGCCGCTTTCGCTGTCGCCAATCCGCCTAAAATTTGCATTTAAATGAGGCAAAATTTGAATTTAACGATCAAATAAAAGAAATCCGTTTTCCCCTCAAATCTCATCGTTTACTATCATGGATTCGTTTCCGTTCGCCTTATCACTTCCAAGCTGTGAGTTTCTTTTAAATTTTTCGTTTTTTTGGCTTTTTTTAAGTCTTTTCCATTGTTTTGTCAGTGATTTTGTGCTAAATTTACCGATAGTAAGCCTGTTTTGCTTTTGTTTTATAAAATTACTCGTTAAGCTAAACAAATTGCTGAGATTTTGTGTTCAATTTCATATTTAAAACCGTTAAAACTAAGAAAATCATCAAATTTCTCGTCAATCTCCTCCTTTTAGGGCTTCCGGTACGGTCACTCTTGACGCTGTCCACGATTCTCGTGTCCGCGTTGCTCGTCGTCTTCTGCCGTGGCAAAAAGCTCAAAGAAAAGCCGAAAGAGGCGAAAGAGGCGAAAGAGGAAAGCGCCACAAAAGGATCTGTACGTGATTTGTCCATCAGATATCAGATACTTTTGCTCAAACACTCACTCCTCCTCACTCTTTTAGACACCAAAAGCCGGCGAGATGGCACACAACGATCCGAACTATGAGACGATGAACATCATCCAAGCAGATCCATTCGCCAAAAAGGAGTAGAGAGGAGCGGAACAATGTCAGGGTGTATCTTTTTTCAAAACTTGTATTGGTACTCGGTGCAAGTACAGCTACTGCTGGCAGTTTTCTGTTTGATTTTGGCACTGGCATCGGTACAGCGTTAGTGAGTGCAAGTACTATGAATTGAGTATAAGTATCGCTTGAAAACCTATCCATATCTTCTTCTTTAGATCTGTATGCTGATGTGCTGATAGTGCTTTGTCTCCTCTTCTTCTCTCACTCATCAAAAACAAAACAATCTCCATCCATTGCATTCATTTGAGTTCAATTTGAATAAAGCGTTTTACAAAGGAGCAAAAATTCATAAAAATCATTGAACAAGGGATGAATAAATTGTTTTTAAGAAAGAAAATGCATTCAAAGAGTATTTTATGATCGACTTTTACGAAACACAACTTTTAAAGAATGCATATTCGCTTGTTAGCGCTTTTTTTTGATTGTCATAGCTTGAATTGAGGGTTTGACTCTGACTTTTTGTGCAAAAAACTTTGCAACTTTGCAGAAAAGTGCACAAATTTGATTGCACAACGATGGCCAAAGCGATTTTTCGAGTAAAATTTCGTATTTTAGTGTTTCCAATCGATCGTTTTTCACAATGCATCAAAGAAATACCTGTAGTAACCGGAGCCGATGCATTGAACGGATCAACGGGGATCGTGTTCCCATTCGGCAATTGTAGCAGCACTTCCGACGACCTTGTTGACGTCGGGGAGAAGGTTTCCTGAAAAGAAAGGGCTCAAAAAAGAGAATCCGATCGTCATCCTAACTATTTAATGGGCAAGTGTAATTGCTGTAGCTGCGTTTCAACGGGTTCGAACCGTACAAGAAACTGAACTGAACTTTTAACTGTGAATAAGGCAATAGGAGCCTTATTCACCGTTAAAAACTTTATAATTGAACGCAGAACCCGTTAAGGATCAGCGCCAGTATGTCTTTGGCAATCATTGGCAAATATTTTCGTGATTGATTTCTGTATAAGGGTGTTGTTGCCTTCAAAACTGACCCCATTCACCCGTTGATTCAAATCCATTTCGTAGGCTTTGGCGGCAAGCGAGAAGAGACCGACAAAATGTTGTGCACGTTGCTCGAAAGTCGCCGTCGGCCAGAGCTAAATGGAAACTTTGTTAAAGCTTTGTTCAAGAAAGCCGAAATCATGCAAGATCACGATTTTTTAACGTTTAAATTTTGGCTCACCATTTTGGCTCCTTGTCTCGCAACCATGATTTGATTGAAGGATGATCGAGCGTAGTTGGGATTCGACGCGGCTCGCATCAAGTGCGAAGCGGTGAGCATGCTGAAATTTAGAGTTTCACATCAAATCAGCTCATTTTTCTTATAACCAAAACCAAAAACCTTAAATCGTGGCCTCAATTTAGACTTTTTAAAGAGTTTGATATCAAAAATCGACTCAAATTGATGGCTTAACTATTTCCAGGCTCAACTATTTCATCTATTTCAACTTTAGCATACTTTATTTGTCAAAACACTCACTGATTGCTCGTTTTTCGACACAGTCTCGCCATTTGCACATGACTTTCAATGTAGGCCGGTCCACCCAAGCGCTCGGTCCACAGCAGGAGTTGTCTAAAAGCCGGATATTTCAGCTGAGTTTCTAGTTTCAAATTAGTTCACAACCTTCCCAGCGCCACGCGTTCTCCAAGATCCGATTTTGGTTTTTCGAGGATGAAAGCCGGGTCCAACTCGGCGATGATTGACTAAAAATCAAAGAGACATGTAAACTTTCAGCTTAAAAACAAGCTTAAAGTTCAACAAACTCTCAGGAGTCTTTACCAATATTGTACTATACTAACAAGTTCGTTCTAAAGTCTCAAAAAACAAAAATCTCCACTCACAGCATGTACATCCTGTAGCTCGGGTCCCTTTTTCTGCATCCGAGTCGCCAAGAGACGAGCAATCGCTTGAACAATTGCGAAACGGGTGTGTAATCTAGAATTGTTGGGGGGTTTTGGGTTACAAAAAAATTAATCTCATAAGCATAGGTGAACTAAATCTGCTTATTTTATCCTCAAACTTGAGCCAACAATTCACCTCAACGGTCCCTCAGTCGCCAAAACAAGCGCCGCATCGTTGGCCAGCTGGGTCTCAATGTCGAGCACTTCTGGTCTAAAGAATTTCTCGAGTAAATCACATTTCCCAGCTTCAATCCTACACCAACTACAGCCCTACAATCCACGAATTTCCTCAAGAATCACCTTCTCATCGTTGTCAATAAGGTGTGCTCGATTTGGAGGCTCTTCTCGGGAATTTTCCAAGCCGTATTCGAATAAACTGGCACCGTGTCGACTTTGCCGAAAACGCACAAATCGCGGCAACTGAAAATAGAAAGATATAGGTGAGTAAAGCTGCTAGATTTGCTATAATCGATTTGGGCTCAAATTTGATGCCTACTAAAGGTCTTTCTTTCGTAATAGGCACTCCTGTCGAGACTCAATATTTTAGCAGGAAATAGTACTGATCTAGATGCTGAGACTAATACAGTAGGTCAAGGTTAGCCTGGTAAAGGATTTTAGTTAGCACTACCGCTTAAAACCCTCACCAATTGAAAGCCGATTCCTCAAAACCAGGCGGACACTCAGGAAACATTGCATCATTCGTCGAGTCACTCATCACATCCCACATCGAGAGATCCGGTGGACAATGGTTGGCAGAAACCAATTCGGGCAGACGGACACGCAAAACGCAGAATAACATCTGCAAATATCAAGAATCATTTTCATTATTAAGCATCAAGCATCAAGAGAATACAGTAAGTATTCTTACGAGTACAGTGAGCATTCTTAGTAAGCAGTAATCATTCCTACTGTACTCATAAACAACAACTAGCTATCCTGTAAATTTACCATTTCCCGTGCGAATTTCGCCTCGACATCACTGTTCTTTTGGATGAGATACGTGCGCAGCTTGGCAATCGATGATTCCCATCTGAAAAAGGAGAAAATCTCAAAATACCCTGAATTCCCTGAATATCTTATCCAGTTCACTAATAAGCACAAATTACAACAGCTTAAACTTCTGCCATACATAGTACAGTACAGTACAGTACAGTACAGTACAGTAGAGTACAGTAGAGTACTATGTACGGGCATAGGCTTTGTTATTTTGATCTAAAAACAGCTAAAAGCATCGAGATTCACCCTTTTCTGGGGTAACTTTTTGCGCTGATCACGAATTATAGCTTAAGCTTACTCAAATTCTCATAACAAAAAAAACCCCCACCTAGCAGCCGCAATATCCGCACAAATCGGCAACCATTCGGGGACAATCGCGTAGACTCGTTGCGTCCAGCCGGCCAGTCCCAAAATCGGCAATTCGTAGCTAAAAATGAGTGAGGAGTTAAAGGTGTTCCGCGAATTTACTAACGTACTAAAATTTTAGAGTCAAAAAATCCCTAAATACTTACCCCAATTGCACCATTGCTTTCGTGATCCATTGTAGCGCCATCAACACCAAACCGGGCATCGTTTGACCATTCATCTTCGAGTCCTAAGTTGCCGATTATCGAGATTGGCTTGTAAATTACAGAGCCAACAACATTGGTCACAATTCTACACCTCTAAACTACTCACCGCCTCATTCGGACTCTCGCGATTGTTGCCAGCTTTCTCTTTCTTCTGTTTCCGCTCAAAGTCGAGCAACGCCGAGGCGCCAAAGCGAATCACCTGAAGAAATTTCAATGAAGCTTTTCAATAGCTGAGAAAAGGCGACACTCAAGCACTCACTTGAGCATACGCTCCAGCCGTATAAGCGACCGCCATCGCCGGGATGTAATTTCGCGATAACCATTCCTGACAGGCGTTCGCATTCTGGATGAAAAAGTGGCGAGAGATCTAAAAGGAGAAACAGTTAGTCAGATTTAAATCCGGCAAATTTTGACTTCTGGTTGATCCAGGATAAAGCCAGGATTGGTCAAGTCAAAAGTATAGCCAAGCTAGGTCAGAGCAGAAGCCAAGTCATGACCGACCTTTGGCCTGAGCATCCGGTTGTTCGATTAAAAAATAACCCCACCTCGGATACGTTAAACGGTGAAAACGAGGCACCAGTGTGTGCGCTGTAGATCGCCTTATCAAGCAAGTCGACGAATTCGAGCAAAAGGCGAACACGCCACCAATCTTCCGATGCGTTTAGGGCCCTCAAAAGTGTGGAAATTACATGGAAATACTCATAATTTCAATAATTTCAATAATTAACATGAAATTTTAAATACCTTGGCTCTTTCACCTCATTTCCCTCGTCTTTGCTGCTCTTTTCCGGTCGGCGTGCAAGAGTTGTCGTCGAAGAGACCTAAAAGTTGAAAGCTGAAAGCAAGTTTTCACGTTCAAAATCTCTGGTAGTTAACAGATTTCATCTAAAAACATTCAAAACATTCAAAAGATTCAAAATCCATGTCAAGATCGGTTTGATTTTGTTAAAAAAGAAAGAAAAAAACCTACACTTGGCTGACTTTTCATCGTCTTTTCCTCAACTTTATTGTTCGGGATCTCAGAGATGGCCTCCTTTGCGAGTCGGTGAATCTCTTCTAAACAATTTTATATGATTTTGTGCATTAACTGAGTCTATATAGCTAGCTTTAGTATTCAGTCAGACCCAGGGAATGGCTTTAACTCAAAATCTCTATGCTAGACCAGTTTTTACAGCCATAATTTTGCATAGATTTGTCAAATGCAAATAATTTTGATGTAATTTTAAAGTGAAAGAGTGTCTCTCATCGAATTCCATCAAAATATCATCCAAATCTGATCGTCTACGAATCAAAACAATGTACGTCTATGTACCGTTTAGAAGGCTAATCCCTCATAGCTCTATTTACTCCAAAAACCCACTGGAAAACTCGGAAAACGTCTCCATTGGTCCTCCGAATTGTGTCCGCATTCGATTCTCGACACAATAATTCACCGTCTGCGCGAGCGCCCAACGCCAACGAGTCATCAGCTAAACGTTGATATTAGATTGATTAATGGCTTTTCAATCGTTCACCAATTCTTTCTCCACTCCAGTAATCGTCGAATGCAAATATGCGATCGTTTCATGAATCCATGTGTCGTTCTCACTAAATTTAACATTTCACAAATTAACATCAAAATTTTGTCACCACTGCCCCCACTCACTTTCTCAACAAATTCGGCATTTGTTTATGCAATAGAAAGGTGATGATGATCGAGAAGTGCTCAGTGGAAAAGCGGCACTCGTTTGCTTTCTTCTGTGTCATTTCAGTGTCCGTCCAACCGGTGATCGAGACTCCGCTTCTGAAATTTTGAATTTATTTACAATTTTAGCAATCTTAGTAAAAAAGCAAATTTTAGCGTACATCGAGTATTTCAATTAGAGCTTCTAAAACAAATCTCTTTACTTACAAAATGTAGCTCCTTGACGGGATTTTCTTCCACAAACGAATCGAGTCTTCGTGATTGAGTTTCTAAAGAGGAAAACGATTAAACGATTAAAAACTATCAAACGATTAAACGATTAAAAACGACTAAACGACTAAACGATTAAAAACGATTAAAAAAAAGCGCTATTTTTTTTTACAGATTACAGTAATTATTTATCGAGTACCGTAAATTCCAATTTTCATCAAAAAAATCCCCACCTGAACATTGGTTCTCGCTTGTTTCACTTGTGAAATCATCGTTTCTTCATCGTTCGACGCGGTCACCTCGAGAATTTTTAGCACCGATTGTAATCTGAAAGAAGGAAATTGAAAGTAAAGCTAATTTAAAAGCTAAAAAAAGCTAATTTATCTACTTTCCATGTTAGGGAAGCTTTTTTTGCCAAAAAAATGTGAACAACAAAATGCTTACCTCTCGATTCGTTTCGGATTTTCCAATAGAAGAGACCATAAGGTGACCTAAAAATGAGAAAGTTTAGATCGAAGGAAAGAAAATGGATCGATAAAATGTTTAAGATTGCTTAAAAAGCTTTAAGCTTAAACACTACAACTGCATTAATGAGCTGTTTTTGACAGAATTTAGAACAGCTTAAACTTCTGCCATACATAGTACAGTAAAATACAAAATTTAATCTTGAAGTCATATAAATCTAACATTTTCCGGTCTAATTACTAGGGAAATGAATCGGTATTTAGCACTAATATCAAAATAATCGCACTACTTTTCGTTCACTCCTTGTTTTTAGCTCGATTACCCATTTTCCCCTACCTGAAGTTCCTTAAAATCTCGATGATTAACAACTTCGGGTAGTGAATAGTCGGGCAAATTGTTGAATAAACTCTCCAGCCATTCATCGCATAATTTTCTGAAAAATAAAATAATCTAGACATAAGAAGAAAACGCTAAAGCTATTCAGCTAACGAGTTTACAATATGATTTTTAAAATCAAAATCAAAATCACCTTGTTTTCCCAAGTGTCACCCGGTTTCCCTTTAGCAACAGTGCGTGCAGAAGCTTTAGTTGAGACTAAAAGAGAGAGTTTTTACGATTTTTAGACAATCTACAAACTAGTATCTCTTTAAATTTCATTAAATTCATCAAATTTTATGATTTCAATTCAAAAAAAATCCCCGTACCTCTGCATGATTTTTCGTCAAATTTTGATGAATCGGCGATGGCGATGCGGCGACAATCCACGACGAGTTCACCACAAAGAAACCATGGCTGAAAAAGGATGTAATGCTACAGTAAATGGCATTGTATAGTAAATGGCATTCAGTAATGCCAACAAAAACAAGTCTAAACCCGTTTTTTTAACCAAAAGGTTTCAACCAGAGATCATATTGGAACCATATCAACCATATTGGAACCATATTGGAACCGTATCGGAAGCGTATCCGAACCAAATTGGAACCATATTGGAACCATATTGGAACCGCATTGGAACGTTTTCTGTTTTCTTGATGTTTTCTTACTGTAAATAACTTTTCTACAAGTTTTTCTCCGTACAAATAACAACTTAGAGTACTTCCAACTCTCAAGCTTCACATTTTGCATGAAAACTGATTGCAGAAGCTAGTATTAATGTAAAAACAAGCAACAAATAGGGATCTTTATGATTGTAGGCATCGGATTTATCGGTCTAGGTATCAAATTTATGACTCTAGGTACCAAATTTATGACTATGTACCAAATTTATAACCCCAGATACCCCTTTTATGAATCTAAGCACTTAAGCACTATGAATCTCAGCACATTCGTCACAAATAACAAACCTTTCACAATGCAAATGTAGCAATCTCATCAGTGTGTGGTGTTCCATTGGAAAACCCTCCAGAAACGTGTCATCACTTAGCGGTAAAGTGGTAAGAAAAGTGAAAAGCGATGGTTGGAGCATCATCTGAAAGCAAAAATCGTCAAAAAAAGACTACATGGTCATTTTTATTCAAATTTCAACCAAAAACCGACCACAACAAACGAATTCTTGATGGTCGCCAAGTGTTCCAGTGATTGTAGCAGGCAAAAAAGACGAATCGAGGCGTTCTAAACTCATAGATTTATCGATATTTCTATGCGCTGCTTAGATTTCTATGCGATTACCTTAATCTCTAGTTGTTCCTTGAAGTTGCTGTTGTTTTTGGCGGCTTGAAGCGAGGCAAGTTCATCTGAAATGAAAAAAATGATTGTCAGATTGAAATTCCACCAACCACCAATCCATTTGATCACCATTGTGTACGTCGCTTGAATAGTTTTGATGTTTTTCTCCGACAAAAGTGCCGAGATGAGACGCGATGAGGCTTTGATGGTGCTCGGATTCGCAAGAAATTGATAGATGAGACCAATTTTCGAGTAGTTCGAAACGTCTGTTTGTCCGTGAATGAGTGTCGTCGACATGTTTACCACCTCATCAATGTGCGGCACATTGCTTTCAAACTGAAAAAGAGCTGGCTGGCTTTTGGTTGGCTTTTATCCTAAGGTTGACTTTTGGCAGTGTTAGGGTCTAAGGTTGACTCTTGGCAGTGTTAAGGTTTAAAGCTTTTGCCAAAAAAAGCATTTTGATCAAGATTTATCAACTAAAATAGTGGAATTTGAACAAATTTACGCAAAAAAAATCGTGTAGACTGTTCAAATTTTGCGTAAAATAAATTTTAAGCAAAATTTGAATAGTCTACACGATTTTCGACTGTTCATTTATAGAATCTAACAAGTTGGCATTCGTTTTTCGACTTTAAACTAAAAAATCTCGTTTCAGACACGATTTAAGTACTCAAATATACCCAAAATCGCCAAACAAACAAAAATCATAAAAACAATCAACTTTTGCAAAAGTTCCCCACCTTCGTCAACAAGTCCAAGTATCCATTGATCAAATAAATCGCTCCCGGAAACGAATCGATCACTTTGAATAGAAAAGCGACGCATGAGGTGGTCAACTTCAAGAAATCCTGAATAAATCTAGGTTATCGACTTCTAAATTGCAATCACCTCTTCAACGATGGCTCTCAACTCGGAGATTAACTCGAAAACATAAACAAGCGCGAGGAAAAGCTTTGTCGGATTCGAGTCGTTCACTCTGAAGATCGAGATGTAGCTTTCACCAGCGAGGATTAACTGAAAATGAGCAAATTTTATGTTAGCTCAATTTCATCAATTTTTAGCTAGGTCAATTTCATCTTTTTTATAATAAAATAATCAGAATTTCGCTATCGCTGAATTTTAATTTTATCAGCTAAGACGCTCAACTTAGCATTTAGCAAAAGCGTTTGACCCGCAAAGGAATCGAACCCGCCACCGATAGATTCGTAGACTCCGAGTCAAGCGCGCTAGCTACTCGACCAAGCATTTAGTCTAATGGTTGGCGAGTTTGTCTTTGAATCTGCTGATGCAAGAGGCCGATTCGAGTCCTGAAGCGGTCGATGAATCACCTCTTCAATCGTCGACACGATGACAATGCGCAGATTCTCCTCATTCGGTGCGTTCAAGTAGATCCGCATGATGATCGCATGGGTTTTGATGAGCGAACCGGCACGCGACAACACCGTTTGCGCCTCTTTGCCTGTGATCCCGCCATTTCGCAAGTCCTGAATTAGGATTTTTTGAGACAATACGATTTGATATTTGCTACGATTTTGCCTTAAAAACTAGACTAATTCAATTGTTCATTCAGTTAAAGTTCAATTTTACAAACTTTAATTTTTAAACAGTTCTTACACCTATTAACTCTTCACGAAGGGGCTCAATACCCTAACTATACATCGTACAGTGCCGTACTGTACGATTATGTCCTCCAAAAGTCATAAAACACTTTTCCTAGGTACAGATTTGTGTCTGTTTAGCACCAATAACGATTTTGTAAGTAGAACATACTGTACAGAGCCTATTAAGCCTATCTTTAAGCTTATTAAGCCTATTTTAAGCCTGTTAAGCCTATTTTAAGCCTGTTAAGTCTATTTTAAGCTTATTAAGCCTATTTTAAGCTTATTAAGCCTATTTTTTAAGCCTATTTTAAGCCTATTAAGCCTATTTTAAGCCTATTAAGCCTATTTTAAGCTTATTAAGCCTATTTTAAGCTTATTAAACCTATTAAACCTCCTTTCCCAAACAAACCTCCAAATCCTCGACGATATCCCGCCGGAATTGTTTCATCAACTCTTTCGCGTAGTTCGGCCGCTCCAACCAGAAACTCGACAAGCCGAGGAGAGCCTGAACATGGGAAATTAACATGGCTGAGCTTTAGTTTAACAAATAGCTAGTAAATAGCTAGTTAATAGCTAATAAATAACTAGTAAATAACTAGTTAATAGCTAGTAAAAAAGATAATAAAAATAAAAAAAAAAAAAAAAAAAAAAAAAAAAAAAAGCTCGCAAATGGCTAATAAATAGCTAGTTAATAGCTACTAAATAGCTACTAAATAGCTAGCTAATAACTAGCTAACAAACAAGGCTTAGAACTCAGTTTCCCCTTCAAAATCGCACCTCTTCACATTTTGCGTGGATTTTCTTCGGTACTGTCTCGTCCATCAGCCATCCGACCGTCAAATCGACCATATCCTGAAAATTTAGCATTAGTAAGACTCGCTTTAAAACTTTACCTCAAAGAAAGCGCGAAATTTTGTTGGCGAAAATTGAGAAACCGCCGTGCAGAGTTCCATCAACGAGGAGTGAACCTAGAAAAATTGATTTAATACAAATTCAATGATTTTTATAATGATAATGGTTTAATGATATTGGTTTAATGATAATGGTTTAATGATAATGGTTTAATGATAATGATTTAATGCTAATGGTTTAATGATAATGGTTTAATGATATTGGTTTAATGATAATGGTTTAATGATTTAACGATTTAATCATTTAATCATTTAATGCTTTTTTCATAGCCTAGCTTTATTTTACAGCTTTTAACACCAACAATATTGTTTACTGGCTAAATCTTTACATACTTGATGTGATGTATTTGCTTCGAGGCTCTTGATCGCGAATTTCATCAGTTTCTAAAAGGAAAATAGAGATTTAAGATAAAAATTTAGATTGAAACGCACGTCAGACAATTTCTCGGCAAACGGGAAGCTTTTCGTTGCATTCACGACAATCGAAGAGGCCATTGCGCTGAAATTTATGTTTAGATATTGGATTTTTCGAAAAATTTCACCCAATCAACATCATTCGCTCCTCTTCGGCTTTCCGATGCAAAGCTTCGATCGCATCGAGAAGCCATTGAATGAATCTAAACAAGATTTTGAAGTAAATTTGAAGTAAAATTGAGAGAATTGGTAACGAGAAGCTTTTGAATTGGTTCTTTTTTGTAATTCTTCAACAGATTCGAACAGATTGCATATTTTTGGGGTAAAAATTGAGCATTAAAGCTTTAGTGTCACTTTTTAAGCTTTATTGAAGCTTTATTCCATTAAAAAAATTAAAGCTTAATTCAATTATTGTTACGTAGTACATACAAAAAAAAAAAAAAAAAAGCCTTTTAAAACTCACAATTCGTATTCCCATCCAGTCAGCACGCCAAGTGCCGCCAAACACGTCGACAGGTTCTTTTTCAACTCCAACGGACCGCTCCTTGCCGTAATTATCACCAGAAAATCGTCGCCGAGCTCTTGCCATCCCTTTGGGAGTTCCTAAAGTTTCTAAAGTTTGGAAAAAAGTGAGCCTAAGTCTAAGCCTAAGTCCAAGCGTAAGCCTATTCCTAAGCGTAAGGGTAAGCCTAAGCCCAAGCCTAAGCCTAAACCTAAACCTAAGCTTTAGATCGTTAGCCTTATTTGCATAAATTCTAGGAAATTTAGATAACCAACAACCAAAACAAGCGAAAATTTTAATCAAATGCCTAACCAACAACCAAAACCAGCAACAATTCAATCAAATGCCTAACCTGCAGGCCAAATTGGCTTTCTACTCAAATCTGTAAGCCTCTGAAGCACTCTATCTATTGATAGATCTATTTACAGTTTGCAACTAGCTTTTGGTTTGTTATAGTTAAGCTATAATCATCAAGTTCTTCATAGTTAAGCTATAATCATTAAGTTCTTCATAGTTAAGCTATCATAGCTCGACTCTGTTTGTTTAGATGGGTAAAACTTGTGCAAAACTTACCCAAACAGCAATCTTATCAAATCAACAGCAATCAACAGCATTTTTGCACTCACCTGCAAATTCCTCAACCTTTCCAGCGTTCGACACAACTCCAGCGATGCCTGCATGCGCTCCTCACGGCCGTGGTTCGCCCGATCGGATATCTAAAAGAAAAAAAGTTGATGTTTAAAGGTCAAAAAACCATTCTAGAACCTAGACTTATCCATTTTAGAATTAAAATTATCTACAATTGATATCTAAAATGAAATAGTTAATGTTTAAAGGTCAAAAAACCAATCTAGAACCTAGATCTATCCATTTTAGAATTAAAACTATCTACAATTGATATCTAAAACGAAATAGTTAACGTTTAAAGGTCAAAAAACCAATCTAGAACCTAGATTTATCCATTTTAGAATTAAAATGATCTAATATTACCCTCTAAAATGAAATAGTTAATGTTTAAAGGTCAAAAAACCATTCTAGAACCTAGATTTATCCATTTTAGAATTAAAACTATCTAAAATCGATATCTAAATGAGAAAGTTGATCTTTAACAGTCAAAAAACCATTCTAAAACCTAGATCTATCCATTTCAACATCAAAATTTGATGCTTAACAATGAAAGATCCATTCTAAACCTAGCATTTTATCTTTTACGTCAAAATTCGATGCATCTTTCATTGTTAAGCGTCAAAACAGCCAAAAGAACCATTTTAAAGCTTAGATTTGCCAGTTTTCACATCAAAATTTGATCTGAAATGAAGAATTTGATGCTTAAAGAAAAGTTTGACCATTTTTGAGCAAAGATTTATCAATTTTTCAACCAAAGCTATACTTTAGAAGGGGAAAAAGCTGTGTTTTCACTATTAAATTGATCTTTTCACTGTCAAAAGCCGTCTAAAAGCACAAATTTTCTTCAAAACCTTCAGCAAAACCCGCCAAAAACCTATTTTTCTAAAGATTTTGGGCAAAAGCAAAAGCAAAAATAGCAAAATTTGATAAAAATTTCAAAATTTGCTAAAATCTACTAGAATTTCGAGTTTTATCAAAAGTTTTATCAAATTTTTGCTCAAATCTCACCTGTTTTAGCAGATCTTTGATGGTAACTTGTATCAAATCAGACATTTCTTAGCATCTAAACAAAAAAAAAGATGAAAAGTTTGTTAAAAATTCAGAAAAAGCAAAGAAATAATCAAAAAAACGCAAGAAAACCGAAAAATAAGCAATTTTTGGCAAATTCTGGCAAAACCTCCTTTTATAAATCAATTTTTAAAAGAAAAAGATATTCAGCTAAACTGCTGAATATTCATTTTTGTGGAAATTTTGTTCTTTAAAACAATTTTAAAAAAAAGCTATTCAGCTAAAGAGCTGAATATTCATTTTTGAGAAAATTTTAATATTTAAGCTAGTCGTTTTTTACTGATTTTTGATGTTTTTACGGTTTTTTGATGTTTTTTCTTCAATTTTTACCCAAATTTCGTCAAAAACCATAAAAAAACAGCAAAAAACAGCAAAAAACACTGCAAAACCGTAAATGGCACTGCCAAATCACGCAAGGAAATTTGAAAAAAAAACTCTGCTTTTCTGACGATTTTCTCCCCCAACCCTCTGACGAAAAGAACATTTTATAGGGAAATCGAATGCGCAAATAGCTTCGTTGGCTCCTGTGCTATCCAGTTCGCACGAAACATTGCCTAATTTGTGATTTTCCCCTCATTTGAGCCGACTTTTTCAACCAGTCCCAAATCTCCGCTCTGACCACTGCTGAATTCTTCCAAACCCCATTTTATTTTAATAATTGTTTATTCTGACATCCAGCTTGCCCATTAAATAACTTATTTTTTTACAAAAATCCTTTTTTTACTTAAAATATGCCTCGTACTCTTTTCTGTGGCTTCAACTTTTAAAATTTATTAAATTCCCTCATTTTCTAAGATAGTTTTTCAAATCAGCATTTATTTTAGGCTTTATGGAATGCGGATCGAGGTGTTGCCGATTTTCGAAGTGTACATAGGATTGGATAAATTTCGAAATGTCGAGCTACATAATCGAGGATACTATCAGGTACAGAAGCTACGGTATCCCAGGTACTGTAGTCTTAAAAATACAGTACCCTGGGCTACCCTAGCTCTCTCTCCAACGTCCTTTTCCAGATCCGTCTCTCCCCGAAGCCCAGCACCGATTTCTCGATCGATTTTCGGTGTGAGAGTGGAAACGAGCAGAAACTCGGGGACAGTCTTCTGCCGAGTTCCGTCAATGATGGGGTACAGGCCTAAATAACCAATTAGGAATCTCATGTGACATCCAGATCGACCAAAAAACCCTACACAGTAACCATAGAACGGCTACAGTACCTACAAAGCCCTACAGAGGCTACCGTACCCTAGGGCTACCTTTATACAGTAACCCTAGAGACCAAAATAACTAAATAGGAATCTCATGTGACATCCAGATCGTCTAAAAAACCCTACACAGTAACCATAGAACGGCTACAGCACCTACAAAGCCCTACAGAGGCTACCGTACCCTAGGGCTACCTTTATACAGTAACCCTAGAGACCAAAATAACTAAATAGGAATCTCATGTGACATCCAGATCGTCTAAAAAACCCTACACAGTAACCATAGAATGGCTACGGTACCTAGAACACGCTACAGAGGCTATTGTACCCTAGGGCTACCTTTATACAGTGACCCTAGAGACCTAATAACCAATTAGGAATCTCATGTGACAACCAGATCGACTAAATAACCCTACACAGTAACCCTAGAACGCTACAGTACCTAGAAAATCCTACAGAGGCTACCGTACCCTAGGGCTAGGTTTATACAGTAACCCCAGAGACCTAGTAACCAATTAGAAACCTCATGTGACATCCAGATCGACTAAATACTCCAAAAAAATATATCTAACTTTTAGATCGGCATCTCGCGCACCATCGAGCTGATCTTCGCTGATGAAACCCTACAAATCAACGATGTTTTCATCCTTTCAATACAGGTACGGTAGAGCTACCGTAACCCTGGATAAGCTACCGTAATCTCAGGCCCTCACCCGCCCATGGATCGAGCTCTTCTCGCTGAAAGTCGGTGTCGAATTGTGGTTAGTTGGAATAGTTGGAAATTTCAAAATCCTTAAATCATCCATTTTTCATTCATTTTTTTGTTCCGTGCACTCCAATTCGCATTTCGCAGGTTCGCCGACCGGGATCGCCCACCGGCAAACGAAAATTTCACGCTGATCTCCCGTCGGACTCTAGAAATCGATCTCTCTGTGAAAAAAGCGCACTGTATCTTCAGGTTTTATCAAAATTTTGCATTGAAAATTGTTTAAATAACCTAAATAACCTTTTAGACCAATCAACTTCGAGTTTTTCGCGTTTTCCTCGTTGACTCTTTTCGCCTCATCATCACTTGTCTCAATGTTGGCCAGAAGAAAGAAAAACCCACCGGATCCAGTAAGTAACAGCTTTTTATCTTTATCTAAAGGCTCGGGGCACCTCCGACCCCAACTTGACCTCCGGGGATCGAACCACCACCCTCCGCCTTGGAGACAAGCTCGCTAGCCACTAGGTTATGAAAACTTTAGCAGTAATCAGTAAACTAAAGATCTCTATAAATTCTGTGATATCCAGAATTAACTGATAACATTTCAGTTCTACTCAATTTTTCCTATTTAGCTGTAATTTTAGCCATTCTCAATTCCTCAACCATTCTCAGCCCACTTGATGGCCAAATGGAAAGGAAAAAAGCCCAAATAAAAAAGATTTGTTCATCCTGGAACGCACAGAAATATTTAACAGATCTAGGGATTATAAAAGTGATGATGCAGGATGGCGCAGTGGTTAGCACTTGGCTCCCAATCGAAGGGTCCTGGTTCGAACCCCCGCAGCGCAGAACTTTTCTATTTATTCGATTTTTCGAGCACAAAAGCTCTTGTGAACTCCAATTTGCAGGGTATTTCGCTGAAACTGCAGCAATTCCATCTGCAAACGGCTCGAGCGCTTCTGATGTCGATCAACTCGTTGGAGAGGTTGATCGCCGCGAACAAAGACCTTCTCAAAACCACAATTCACATCGGTAAACGCAAATTTTATATAAAAATCAAAAATTCAGCTGAAACGAGTGTCGAAAAAGAGTTGACGAGGCTATGCGAGGGAATCGAGAACTCCAGCTCACCTTGGTGCCAGGTACAGTACCAAAACCCAGAGATCCCCTAAGCTACAGTAGTTTTTGATTTATGAAATAAGCTTCCTGGAAGTCACTAGACATATTCGCATGCAAATTTCTTGAGAAAATCGAATTCTTATGAAATTCGAATTTTCAATGCAAATTTCAGCTTGAGTCTGATGCTGTCCGGTTGAGCGCTCGCCTCACCGCCATCCACTCCCAATTCGTGAATCTATTCACGAAAAACTACGGTATGACATCCAGATCATTGAAATCATTCAAAACCCTTCCAGCTTTCATGGAGAAAATCGGGCGCTCTTTCGAGGATTGGCGCTGGCGGAGGATCGGAGAGCTTTTCTTCTTCACCGAGCATTCCACTACGGAAATTGGATCCGGTGCGTTCCAGATCGATCATTGCGCCCGAAAAATTCATTTGCTTATTTCGAAATTTCCCAGAAACCCTCCACAACTCGACCACGATCACTCACATTCACTCCCTTGTCGTCTCGTCGCCGTATTTTCGTGATTTCATCCATCCACCGCTCTATTTACCGAATTTGGACGCTCCACCGCAATTGTCGTACGTAAATTTAGTGAATTTAGTTATTCTTTTCTTCTAAACGCACAGCTTCATAGCTAGCTAGCTCACTTCGATTCAATGTGCCAAAAGGCGTGCGTTTCTGTTCGAGCATCTACTGTGAGCTCCAATTCGGTCAATACATTTCAAAAATATATAGTTTTACATAGGATTTCTCTCAGAAACTTGCCATTCTCAATATGGCTCATCGAGCTTTGTGCGTACTTTGCCTACTTTGTGCCAGAAGGCGCGCGTTTCTGTTCGAGCATCTACTGTGAGCTCCAATTCGGCCAATACAATTCAAAAATATATAGTTTTACATAGGATTTCTCTCAGAAACTTGCCATTCTCAATATTCCTGGTTGAATCTTTCGCGTACTTTGTGCTCTGTGCTTTGCGCAAGCCCTCTGGCATACAATGCTATTCAAATTTCAAAGTTTCCTTTAGGCCGATAATCTTCGAGCAAAGATTTCTCCCATCTGTCTCTGGAGAGAATTCCCCGTCTTCGGAAGGACCAACTATTGTAGGTTTAGATTTTTCTATAGCTAGATCTGTTTTATTTTTAATCTATATTTAGATCCCAAGGCTCAAGCCCAAATCCGAAGCCTCTCCGTTGATCAAAGTGGCTCGGGAATTGCGAAGGTTTGAGCTACAGCAAGCTACAGTAACATCAGGGTACAGTACACGCAGCTTAATGTGCCAGAAGGTGCGCGTTTCTGTTCGAGCATCTATTGTGACATCCAATTCGACCAATACATTTCAAAAATATATAGTTTTACATAGGATTTCTCTCTAAAAGTTGCCATTCTCAATATGCCTGGTCGACCTTGTGTATATTTTGTGCCAGAAGGTGCGCGTTTCTGTTCGAGCATCTATTGTGACATCCAATTCGACCAATACATTTCAAAAATATATAGTTTTACATAGGATTTCTCTCTAAAAGTTGCCATTCTCGATATGGCTCATCGAACTTTGTGCGTACTTTGCCTACTTTGTGCCAGAAGGCGCGCGTTTCTGTTCGAGCATCTATTGCGACCTCCAATTCGACCAATCCATTTCAAAAATATATAGTCTTATATAGGATTTCACTCTAAAAGTCGCCATTCTTAATATGCCTGGTCGACCTTGTGTATATTTTGTGCGTTTCTGTTCGAGCATCTACTGTGATCTCCAATTTGGCCAATACAATTCAAAAATATATAGTTTTACATAAGGTTTCCCTCTAAAAGTTGCCATTCTCAATATTCCTGGTCGAACTTTGTGCGTACTTTGTGCGCAGAGAATACGGTACACTACCCTGACTACTGTACCCATTTTCCGGCACCCTAGCCTAACTACAGTACTACAGAAGGGTACAGTACCTAAATTTTCAGTTTCCGTCTCCGTCGCAAGAGTCTCAGCGACGTGAAGAAATTGGCGGTGAATGGGGAAAGACGGGGATCGGCCGGGGAATTGATCGTAACCCAACAGGCTACAGGTACTCTAGAATCAAACTACAGTACCTCGGCTACAGTACACCCGATCACGTCGAACTCATCGCTGTCGAATTTCGAGACGATCGCCCGGGAGGAGAATGGAACGAGTGAAGGTACTGTAGGGTTACTGTAGCTAAAAGTAGACAAATAGGAATCTCGTGTGACATCCAGATCAACTAAATAATGAAAAAGATTCCAAGCTTTCAAGCTAAAATTTGCAGAATTTCTGCCAAAGTCTTTTCGAATACCTTGGACTTTCAAAAATTGATTTTAACCTATAAAAAAAACAATTAGGAATAAAATGTGACACCCAGATCGACCAATCCAGGGATTACGGTAGCTTTAAATGCATTATTTCAGCCCCCACACATTCAAACTGGGAAATGGAGTCGATTTTGCCGGTGCTCGAGAAGCGGCTAGTGTTGCGAGAAAAGCTCCGACTCACGTACAATTATGATTTCTGTATCTACAGGTGGGATTACTATTCCATCATTTTCTTCTAAACGCCCAGCTTCTGGCACACTAGCCCAATTCGAGTCAATGTGCTAGAAGGCGCGCGTTTCTGTTCGAGCATCTATTGTGATCTCCAATTTGGCCAATACATTTCAAAAATATATAGTTTTACATGGGATTTCTCTCTAAAAACCACCATTCTCAATATGGCTCATGGAACTTTGTGCGTACTTTGCCTACTTTGTGCCAGAAGGCGCGCGTTTCTGTTCGAGCATCTATTGTGACCTCCAATTTGATCAATGCATTTCAAAAATATGTAGTTTTACATGGGATTTCTCTCTAAAAGCCTCCATTCTCAATATGGCTTGTCAAACTTTGTGCGTACTTTGTGCGTACTTTATGCGTTTCTGTTCGAGCATCTATTGCGACCTCCAATTCGACCAATACATTTCAAAAATATATAGTCTTATATAGGATTTCACTCTAAAAGTCGCCATTCTTAATATGCCTGGTCGACCTTGTGTATATTTTGTGCGTTTCTGTTCGAGCATCTATTGTGACCTCCAATTTGACCAATACATTTCAAAAATGTATAGCTTTACATGGGATTTCTCTGTAAAAATTGCCATTCTCAAGATTTCACCCGTCCGGGCCACCCAATGCCTTCCAGCTAGATTACTGTACCAATTACGGGTTACTGTATCCATATTCCAGTGAAGCGGCCAACCATTTTCGCCCGCCCCCACAGTGTCATCCAAATCGTTTACCCGATCGGGCCACTCTTTTGGCCCAATCACCGCACTTGATTGTCTTCGTTCATGGATTGGAAGGTTTATTTGGCTATAATAGGATTCAATTACGCAATTCCAGGAGCCATGGACGATTTGATGCCATACAAAAATTTCCTCCGCATTTCTTTACCAGCTCAACCAATGCTGTTTTTGATGAGCAGGTATTTGTCTAAAGTACAGTACAGTACTATTTTTTTGGTCTATATGGTGCTGTGCGTTCCAGAACGGCTCTAGGAACACAAAATAGTGCTATCTACAGTACCTAGACTACAGTAGAGTACTAGCTATAGCAGTCGGTACAGTACTTGTCTAAAGTACAGTAAAGTACTATTTCCGTGGTCTATATGGTGCTGTGCGTTCCAGAACGGCTCTAGGAACACAAAACAGTGCTATCTACAGTACCTAGACTAGACTACAGTAGAGTACTAGCTACGGCAGTCGGTACAGTACTTGTCTAAAGTACAGTACAGTACTATTTCCTTGGTCTATATGGTGCTGTGCGTTCCAGAACGGCTATTGGAGTGCCTGGTACAGTGCAGTACTATCCACAATACAGTAATATCAGCAGTTAAAGGTACAGCAAGCACAGTTCCCAGACACAATTCTCTGGTGCAATTCGGCAGTACTGTAGATTTCCGTATGCGTAGTGTGACCTCCAGCTTGACCAATCGCATCAAAAAATTATGGTTTTACTAATAAATTTATACGAAAATCACCCCGGTTCAATTACGCAACAATGTTAAAATCTCAAAACTCTCCAAATCAATTTTTTCCTATTTCCTTCTCAACTGTGACATCCAATTCACACTCTGACATTTCCGAGAAACAAATTTGCAAAGTACTGTGCTGGATCCGGCTCTGGTCCTGTATTGTGCTACAGTAATCCTACAGTAATCCATTTCCAGGTCAAACGAGCTGGAGACGTGGGCTGATTTAGAGCAAATGGGCGCGAATTTGCTTGACGAGGTCACCGAATACGCGCAGAGTATGCCGAGGGCGCCGAATAGGATTAGGTACTGGATGCGGCTATATTAAATGCAAATTTTCAGCTTCATCACGCACTCTCTTGGCGGGATCATTGTGCGCACGGCGATCGGCCGATCCGACGCTGAATGGCTGCGGGAAAAGGTAGTGAAGGAGTTGGATTGCAATAGCTACAGTAACCCAGGGCCAGCTACAGTACCCCAAATCGTAACTGGTAGCGCTACACCTATAAATAACCAAATAGGAATCTCATGTGACATCCAGATCGTCTAAAAATTCTACACAGTAACCCTAGAATAGCTACAGTACCTAGAAAATCCTACGGAGGCTACCGTACCCTAGGGCTACGTTTATACAGTAACCCTAGAGACCTAATAACCAAATAGGAATCTCGTGTGACATCCAGATCGTCTAAAAAATCCGACACAGTAACCATAGAACGGCTACGGTACCTACAACGACCCTATACAGGCTACCGTAACCCTAGACCAGTAACCCTAGAGACTTACAGTAACCCTAGAGACCTAATAATCAATTAGAAATCTCATGTGACATCCAGATCGACTAAAAAACCCTACGCAGTATCATAGAATGGCTACAGTACCTACAAAGCCCTACAGAGTCTACCAGGGCAGCTACAGTAATCCCTAGGACAGTTACAGTAACCCCTAACCCAGCTACAGTATCCCTTTCCAGGCGCACACCCTCCTCACCCTGAACACTCCACATTTGGGGCTAATCTACGCGCCAAAAGTCTCCTCGTTTGGCGTTGCCGTGATCCAATGGTGGAAGAAAAGCAGGTAAATAAAAAAAAATAGCTCAACTACAGTAAGATCGTAATCCAGCTGTATCTCAGATCCCTCGAGCAGCTGGCGATGAAAGACTCGACGAGTCTGCACGACTCGTTTCTGATGAAATTGTCGAAAAACAAGGTTTGATCTTTACAATAGCCTTTCAATTCCTTCCCATCGATCGAGATCTATATAGTTAGCTTATCTGGAACTCATTCAGAGCCTATCCGCCTTTAAAAACGTGCTCGTCGTCGGCTCTTCTGGGGACGTCTACGTGCCGGTCCACTCGTCACTTCTCGAAACGTGCAAGGTAAAAAATAACCAAATGGGAATCTCATGTGACATCCAGATCGTCTAAAGACCCTACATAGTAACCCTAGAATAGCTACAGTACCTACAAAGCCCTACAGAGGCTACCGTAACCCTAGGGCTACGTTTATACAGTAACCCTAGAGACCTAGTAACCAATTAGGAATCTCGTGTGACATCCAGATCGTCTAAAAAACCCTACACAGTAACTCTAGAACGGCTACAGTACCTAGAAAATCCTACAGAGGCTACCGTACCCTAGGACTACATTTATACAGTAACCTAGACCCTAGTAACCAATTAGGAATCTCGTGTGACATCCAGATCGTCTAAATAGGATAAAGAAATTCAAGCTTACTATGTCAAATTTGTATAATTTCTGCCAAAGTCGTTCCTAGACCTGGACCCAGAGTTTTAGGCCAAACTACTGTGTAAGCTTTCTACTTTGAATCCAATTTCCCATTTCCAGCCAATGCACAAGGACTCAACCCCACTGGGAAACGCCGTTCGCGAAATGCTCGCCAATATTCGCCACGATTTGGTCACTAGTGAAAAAAAGACGAGATTCGTGAGGTACGGCAGGACTTTTTCGATAGATTTCGCGGATCTAGAGCGCACGAAACCCAATTGCTACTTTAGATACACCGTCTTTCACAAATTGGCCGGCGTGGCGCGAGCTCATAGAATAACGGGCAGAGCTGGTAAGGAAAATTTGCATTTAAGAAATTTGCATTTAAGAAAATTTGCATTTAAGAAAATTTGCATTTAAGAAAATTTGCTTTTGAGAAAATTTGGATTTAATAAAATTTGCTTTTAAGAAAATTTGCTTTTAAGAAAATTTGCATTTAAGAAAATTTGCTTTTAAGAAAATTTGCATTTAAGAAAATTTGCTTTTAAGAAAATTTGCTTTTAAGAAAATTTGCATTTAAGAAAATTTTATTTTTAAAAAAGAAAACGGTCGAATTTTTAAATGCAAATTATGCTGTGACATCCAGATCTTCGAGATATTCAGCTTTTATCTCAAAAATTTGAGCTCACACCGCCGTGGTCGACGATGATCTATTCATCGAAAAGTTGATCGCTGTCTCTGCATTGAAATATTTCAAATAGATTCGCATTTTATCTCGTGACATCCACAATAGAGAATCCGAAAGTTCAAATTGTTTTTCCACAATTCCGAAGAAATTTTTGTGATAGCATTTTTTCAGTTCTATCGTTGTGATCGAATTCTCATCTTCTAAGAATTCTCATTTCATTCAAAGAGCTTTAAAAATTTTTTCTTGTCTAGTGTGCATTCCAGTTTGATCAATCACATCAAAAAAAAGTCTTGTTTTACTCATAAATTTTTATAGAAATCACCCCGGTTCAATTACGCAACAATATCAAAAATCTCAAAACTCAGCGCATCCAATTTTTCCCTATTTCCTTCTCAACTGTGACATCCAATTCACCCACTGACATTGCCGAGAAACAAATTTGCGTTTCCTTTGTCACCAAAATCTTTCCCTGAACTTTTCTGAGTAACCCGGAACTAAAAAAGGACAACAGAAGAAGAACAGAGCGAACACAACGGAAAAGGATACCCCCTAGGGGTGCCTGATTTCAGAAATTCGTCAAAAAAGAATATTTGGACGTCAAAACCGAAAAGAAAATAAATCCCTTTGGTTTCATGGGAAAATCGAGTTAAACAAAAAAAAACTGAAAACGAAAATTCAGCCAAAAAGCGAAGCGATCAGCCAAAAAACGAATTTTTTCAATTTTTCTCTTTTTCTGTTTTCTTTGATTGGACTAGAAACGCGTTTGAAAGTTTGAAATTCGATTTTTTCTTAATAAAATAAAGAGTTCAAAAGAATTTGCGTATATAAGCGCTCAAAATCTATCACCAATAAAAATCAAATGAACATAAAAAAGCATCAAAAGTGCCTTACCATAAAAAAATGGAAAACAGGCTCGTTGAATTGAGAATGGTCGAAAAAATGGTTACTATTACTTGTTAGCCAAAAGTTGACAGCTTTGGGATGGCCTATGGGATGCACTAGGATTGCTGGCTTGGAAATTGAAGCAATAGCTTGATTGCCATAATTGTTGTTGATTTGTTGAATTGAGAATGGGTAAAAATAAGCTTACAGAGGTTTGCTAGTCAAAAACTGACGACAGTTTTGATAACTATGGGATGCATTAGGATTGCTGGCTTGAAAATTTAAGCAATAGCTTGATTACCAAGTCTGTGCTTGGAGCTGTGCCGTTCAAAATCATGCAATCGGAGGTCCTGGATGCACGGTTGAAATCGATGAGTCTCTCTTCGCGAAACGGAAATACGATTTTGGAAGGATGGTCGACGAGAAATTGGTCTGGCTTGTGCAGGTAAGCAAATGAAATTTGGAAAGGCTACCGTAATCCTTAAAGCTATTGTAGTCCTTAGAGCTGCCGTAGTCCTCAAAGCTAATGTAAAACTATATATTTTTGATATGTATTGGTCGAATTGGATCTCACAATAGATGCTCGAAAAGAAACGCGCGTCTTCTGGCACAAAGTAGGTAAAGTACACACAAAGTTCGACTAACAATATTGAGAATGGCAACTTTTAGAGGGAAATCCTATGTAAGACTATATATTTTTGATATGTATTGGTCGAATTGGATCTCACAATAGATGCTCGAAAAGAAACGCGCCCCTCCTGGCACAAAGCAGGCAAAGTACGCACACAGTTCGATGAGCCATATTGAGAATGGCAACTTTTAGAGTGAAATCCTCTGTAAGACCATATATTTTTGATATGTATTGGTCGAATTGGAGGTCACAGTAGATGCTCGAACAGAAACGCGCCCCTTCTGGCACAAAATACACACAAAGTCGACCAGCCATATTGAGAATGGTGGGTTTTAGAGTGAAATCCCAGGTAAAACTATAAATTTTTGAAATGTATTGGTCAAATTGGAGCTCAGAATGAACGCTCGAACAGAAACGCGCTCCTTCTGGCACAAAGCAGGCAAAGTACGCACAAAGTTCGACTAACAATATTGAGAATGGCAACTTTTAGAGTGAAATCCTATATAAGACTATATATTTTTGAATTGTATTGGCCAAATTGGAGCTCACAATGGATCAAGGAATCAAAGATTCATCGATCCCGTCTACCCAACTTTTCACACTCAACATATTGAATGAACCTGGAGACCCTTATCCCATTTGTAACACAGATAACACAAAAGTACCCCTTTTTGAACCCCCGCCCACTCTACGGGGAATCGAATTTAGTTTGGGATACCCTAGCCCTTTTTCGAATCCGATTTCGAGATACTCGAGACTAATTTAGGAGCTGGAGCTGGAGTAGATGACTAGAGGAAATCGAGTTACGAGTAACTTTAGAAACACAGACATAGTGGCCTACCGTAGTTAAAAAGCACCTGAGCAACTTAAACAAATAGGGTATGCCAGAAAACGTGTGTTTTTGCGAGTACAAAGTATAGAGTAGACAACGGTAATTGAACCGAACAAACCCAGAAAGTTAGAAATGAGTTTTGGATTATCTCATCCAATCAAATATTCCCTGTGATATCCAGCTTCACCAATTCCATCATCCGCGTCACTCCAAAATGCCTAAATCTCGAGGTGAGGAGGCGGATTTCTCTTGTTCTTATTCAATCTTCTGATGTCATGATTTCAAAGCGGAGAACAACTTCGAGAACTTTGAGGAGTTATTTATTCCGAAATCCTAGCTTTTCGAGGCCGAGGAATGGCGGAAGATGACGAGATAGGAGAAGTGCGCAAAGCCCCGCCCACTTTCGTCTAACGCCTTATCCTGAAAACTCAGTCAGATCTTCACTAAACTTCAAAGCATGAGGTTTTGGCTAGAAGTTTAAGCCACCAATCCCTGTGCTCTCCATAGTTTACGACTACGTTGTCAGTTTTTGACTAGCAAATCTCAGTAAGCTTATTTTCACCCATTCTCAATTCAACAAATCAACAACAATTATGGCAATCAAGCTATTTCTTAGATTTTCAAGTCAGCAATCCTAATGCATCCCATAGCCCATGACAAGGCTGTCAGTTTCTGACTAACAAATAATAGTGACCGTATTTCCACCCATTCTCAATTAATCCAGCTTGTTTTTCATTGTTTTATGCTAAAATCACTTGCAATGCTCCTCATCAAATCACCAGAATTGTCTTTTACTAACCTCAGGGTCTTTTTAGGCTCAGGCTCAGGTTCTATAGTGATCAAAGTCACGAGATTCGCTGATTGGGCTGCTTGGGCTGATTGGGCTGATTGGCTTCATTTGAAAAAAAATCTGTGCACCTGACCGGGCTGCTCTTTAAATAACAAGCTCTAAGAAGAAGAAGAGCTCTAAGAACAAGCTCCTAGAAGTTTTTCCTATCATAGACAAAGATGAGTAAGACTGAAGTGAATTTTAAATTTTAGATTTTAAAAACAAATCCTAACAAATCTTCCGGAATTTTGCCTAAACTTCAAAACGTGAGATCTCGGCTAGAAATTTAAGCCAGCAATCCTAATGCGCTCCATAGTTTACGACTACGTTGTCAGTTTTTGACTAGCAAACCTCTGTAAGCTTATTTTCACCCATTCTCAATTCACCTCAGTTGGTGATATTCAAGCTATTGCTTAAATTTTCAAGCCAACAATCCTAATGCATTCCATAGTTATCAAAACTGTTGTCAGTTTTTAGCTAGCAAGATTCAATAAGCGTATTTTTTGCCATTCTCAATTCAACTCAATTACCTTTTTTGGTTCTAGAGTGAGTATCTTTTCTTTTTCTTTCCTTTTCTTTCACGTTTCTTCTTGAAGATCTTTTTGAAGCTCTTTCTTTTTGTTCCTTTTCTTTGTGAGTCCATTCCTGCGTTAAATTCCCTCGGGATCTCACTGCTCACTCCGGAAGAAGAAAAGGAAGAGTTATCTGGATTCAAAAATTCTCCTCTTTTCTCATGAAATCTTCTTTTCCCTCCCTTTTCGTGATCTTTCTCATCATCGATGCAGAAACTGGGTACTTAGAGATTTTTTGGCGATTTTCAGTTGCTAGGAGTGCTCCCATGATTCTCGTTCATTTTCAAGAATTCTTGACTCATTCAAAAGCCATCTCTTCATTGACTTTCTCCTTTTCCTCTTCTTTCCCTCTTCTTCCCCCCTTCTTTCCTTCTCTCTTTCTTTCCTCTAACCTCTCTACTCCTTGTAAATAGCTTATTTAATTGGACCTTCATCAGATTCGCTTTCAAAAACAAGGCATCATTTTTCTGTTTTCCATGTTTCCCAAATGAATCTCTGTTTTTTCTTGTTGAACGTTCAAATCAAAATTCTTCTTGATTTTCAATGCTTCTTTCAATTCTTTTCAATGACAATTAGCGTTTTGGGTCGCACTTTGATTGTATAGCAAATTCAGTAGCAAAAAAATAGCTCAATCTCTAGAAACAAAAAGTTCCGATTGAGAATGGTGACTTAAAGCGTGTCTAGGTAATATTTTCTAAAGTTTAATATCATTTTCCAGCTAACTGGAAGGCACATTATTTGCATGCAAATTCACTGTCGAATTTGAATCCGTTCTAAAATCTCCATATTTTTGCAACATTAAGAATGCCTTGATATATCGATTTTTGTTGTAGCTGAAACTTTTGCAATTATTGAGAATGGCTATTTTCAGCCTGATTCCCTGTAAATTTTTCAAGTTTAACAACTTTTCCCAGCCAACTGGAGCACAATTTAGATGTTTTCAAAGAAATTTCATCGAAAGACTGTTGTTTTAATTTTTCGTAGTTCAATTGGTTTTGAGAATGGCTAATTAAAAGAATTTGCGAGCAAGGCAAAACTTTTTCGTGACTCTAAATTTCTTAGTTGGATTGCATTTTAAATGCCCATATCATGAAATATCAAAAAATGAAATCCGGTTCATATTTTTCCTTGTTTCAATTTTGGTTTGAGAATGGGTACTTTCAGCCTGAATTGTTCTTTTTCTTCCAAATTTGACATGATTTCCCAGCTATCTGGGATACAACTTGAATGAGTAAAGAGAAGATAGGAGAGAAGCTCTGAATTTTGAATTTCAAACCTTGAATAACATGAATTGAGAATGGTAACTTTTAGAGTGAAATCTCATGTAAAACTATATATTTTTGATATGTATTGGCCGAATTGGAGCTCACAATAGATGCTCGAACAGAAACGCGCGCCTTCTGGCACAAAGTAGGCAAAGTACGCTCCCGTTTTCTATCGTATTTTTGTTTTGGCCGTTGAGTCTGAATGGGAAAAGAGGCATCTCCGAAACTATGAATGGACGGCTTCTTTTGATCCCACGGAAAGGAATTGGGAAAGGATTGGGAAAGGAATAGAGAAGACAACTTCTCTAACAAAGCCATTTTCGCTTCTTCAACACCCACGACTTTTGAAGAGTGTCAAAAATCGTTCAGTTTTGTCTTTAAAGCTTTCATTTAATCTTGTGCCTTCCAAAACTTGGTTTTCATTTAAAAATGATCCAAATCTACTTCTACACTTACGTCATTTCCCCTCCGAGCATTGACCATTGCACCGGTCTAGAGGTTTCTTTAAGTTGTGAGGCTTGTTTGTTAAATCCCTCTGCCCTCTCAACTCACCTGGGTGATCTCGAAAAGAAACACGCATTCACACCTTTTCCCCTTTTTCGAGATCTCGATCTCTTTAGTTTCTTTAATCCCTGTGAACGAGTGATCTTGTTTTTTGCTCTCATTGAATCGAAAATTTTACTACGAAAATCTTTGCCTTTCTGTTCGAGCACTCAGTGTGAGCTCCAATTCAACCAATACATTTCAAAAATATATAGTTTTACCTAGGATTTCACTCTAAAAACCGCCATTCTCAATATTGTTCGTCGAACTTTGTGCGTATTTTGCCAACTTTGTGCCAGAAGACGCGCGTTTCTGTTCGAGCATCTATTGTGAGCTCCAATTTGGCCAATACATTTCAAAAATGTATAGTCTTACATAGGATTTCACTCTAAAAACCGCCATTCTCAATATTGCTCGTCGACCTTGTGCCTACTTTGTGCCAGAAGGCGAGTGTTTCTATTCGAGCATCTATTGTGACCTCCAATTTGGCCAATACATTTCAAAAATATATAGTCTTACATAGGATTTCACTCTAAAAGTTACCATTCTCAATTTCACTCTAAAAACTCTCATTCTTTTTCCAACGGAAAAAAGTTTGCTGATCAAGTGGTTTCCGCAAGAATTGACGGAAAACACGTGTCAAATGGTCATCCTTTCTCGCCTTTCATCTACCGGGGATGAGTAGATGAAAGGCAAAGGGGATGAGTAGATGAGTTGAGAAGAGAAAGCAAACATTTGAGGGATGAATGCAAGGTTTGAGTCTGCGCAGCTTTACCCCCCGATCTCCCGTCCAAGATCGAGTAAAAGTTATTCGATATTCGAATTGGATATCACGGGACATTTTTGCTTAGCTTCAGTGATCCTTACTCGATTGTTAAGACTTCGGGTACTGTAGGTCTGAATTCTAGTGCAATAAATTTGAATTCCTTAAATTCTAATGCCTAATGGCTATTCAGCTATTCAAATTGGATATCACATGTCGATTTCAAATCGTTACAGTAGCCCAAATGCGTCATTTTCTAGTCATCGAGAGCAAAATCTTATCTCAAAGCCATTAGATGCCGAATTTGAATTCAATGCCCATTTCGATTCGATTTTTTTTCCATTCTGGAAAGCATCGAATGTGGTGGGCGGATTGGGAGCACTGAAAAACCCAATTTGATATTCAAGGGTGATACTCAGCTGGAGTTGGCTCGAATTTCAACTCCATCAGAACTTTTCCCGGTCTTTTTTGGAATCTCTCCCTTTTTCCCAAAAGCGTGTGACTTTTTGGCTATTGTTTCGCTTTTTTTAGCGGAATTTTGAAACTAGAAGAGCTTTGAGGTGGCCTCCAGGGTTCCTTCCCCTCCAGCTCCCCTCCAGCTCCCCCTCCAGCTCCCCCTCCAGCTCTCCAAGCCCTCTTTTTCAACCATTCTCCACAAAAGGCGAGTGCGGGAGTCTCCCACAATCCCTTCTTTTCTCCTTTTTTCAATTTTTGTTCAATTGCATCAAATTTCCGACCGTCATTCCCAAAGAACATAAAAATTCTCATTCATTTCTTCGAATTTCTAAGAATTTCTTTGCCAACTTGGTCCTCGGTTGGGATACGAACCGACAACTCATCAGTTCGACTCATCGACGACTCATTCCAAACCTTTTCCACAACAGACGATCATCTTTGTCTTTGTAAAGGACTTTGTGCTTAAAAATGTAAACGCAAGGGTTCTGGCGTAGGGAACGCCTGTTCTGGATGTCACACTATGGATTGGAGTTCAATTTACAGTACCTTGGTTTAGTTTTGTCTAAGGTGTACTTTGGTCGTTGTCTCTGTAGAGGACTTTGTGCTTAAAAGTTTAAACGCAAGGGTTCTGGCATCTGGAACGCCTGTTCTGGATGTCACACTATGGATTGAAATTCAATTTATGACCCCTCGAGCGATTCTTCGAAATCAAAAATTTCCTCATTTTCGAAAGTTTTCCCCATCTTTTTTGAGTCACGCCATCTCGATGACGCCATTTTTTTTGCCTTGGCCTTTCCTTGGCCTTTCCTTTGCCTTTCCTTTAGAATTAAAAGCCCCTGAAGTCATTGGATTAATTGCCCGGCTCCTCTTCTCTTTCCCTCTTTTTCCATCACCACCGTCAGAATCACACAAGTTCCAAATTTTCATTCTTTTCCAAAAATAACTCATCCAATCCCTTTTGTGCGCTCCAGAATTGAAGTTGGCTACAAATTTGTGGTCAATTTTTCAACCAATCCATCGCTTTTTGTGTAGAAATCGATTTCGACAAACTTTACAACGAACTTAAGCATTTTTAAGCAGGAAATAGGTGATCTCAACAATTTCATAACATTCCGATTCTCTGCTTCGGCAAATTTTTGAGTAAATTATTATAATCAACCAGAAAACCCGGCCCATTCCCCATTCAGAGCCGCCAATTTTCTTTTCCCCTAATTTTCTCGAATCCTTTTCACCTTGGCTACAATTTTTCGCTCAAAAATTCTCAAGCTGGATGTCATAGAATCAATTTTTTAATATTACAGAGGATGACGAACCCTTCGGTCAAACTGATTATTTTCGATAAGGACGGCACTTTGGTCGACTTTCATCGGATGTGGATGCCGTATGCTCGAGCGACTGTTAAACTGTGGGTTTATCTATCTGGTAACCGGGGTGGCCCTAGACCTGTGATACGGCCCTAGCAAGACATTCGGCACCTAGCAAAACATTCAAAAACAGCTCAATCTCTAGAAACAAAAAGTTTCGATTTGAGAATGGTGACTTAAAGCGTGTCTAGGTAATATTTTCTAAAGTTTAATATAATTTTCCAGCTAACTGGAAGGCACATTATTTGCATGCAAATTCACTGTCGAATTTGAATCCGTTCTAAAATCTCCATATTTTTGCAACATTAAGAATGCCTTGATATATAGATTTTTGTAGTAGCTGAAACTTTTGCAATAACGAGAGATTCTTAGCTGGGAGGCACTTTGATTGTGTGAGACATTAGAAAACGATAAACAGAACTTTTTCAAAAACACTATAGATTCTATATTGAGAATGGCTATTTTCAGCCTGATTCCCTGTAAGTTTTTCAAGTTTAACAACTTTTCCCAGCCAACTGGAGCACAATTTAGATGTTTTGAAAGAAATTTCATCGAAAGACTGTTGTTTTAATTTTTCGTAGTTCAATTGGTTTTGAGAATGGCTAATTAAAAGAATTTGCGAGCAAGGCAAAACTTTTTCGTGACTCTAAATTTCTTAGTTGGATTGCATTTTAAATGCCCATATCATGAAAAAGTAATTTTTTTCAGTTTGGAGCAGGCGACTGGCCGCGACGTGGGCCCCAGCGTCTACAAAACGCTCGGCGTCGACCCACACAAGGAAAAGGTGAGAATCCTTTGATTTGAAGCCTCCTTTCTTTCCCGTGCTTTCCATAGTTAACATTTTTGAGGGAATCGAGTCTCTAGGCTGAATTTCCGGGCCTTAAAACAGAGGGGACGCTGAGTATCAGTCTTGAGTCCAAAAATTTTGATTTTCTAATTTCTGAATGCTGTGAAATCCCATGTGCGCTCCAGATTAGTGGAAAATTTGGGAATTTTTTGAGTAGCTTTAAGAAAACCTCAAGTTTTAGCATTGATCGTTGATTTGGAGCAGAAATTCGGCAAATTTGCATTTAAAACCAGCAAAACATAGCGAAATCTATTTTTCGTCGATTCTTTGACGTTCCTGAGATTCGAATTTGAATTGAATTTTAGGGAAAAGCTGAGAAAAACGGGCTTTGTTCAAAAAATAGCTTTTCTTTGATTGAGTCGGGAGATTTTCGCAAAGATTTAGGCCTTTTTCAGCTTTTTCAGCTTTCCCCCCGTTTCCCCCGTTTCCCCAATCCTTACTCAAATCCGATTTACATCTGTTATCCCTCTCTCTCTCTCGGAAAAAAGGATTTTCTTGAGATCAGCTGAGGAAAAAAATGATGAAGATGATGAAAATTATAAAAATTCTAAAAAATAGTCACTAGCTCATGTAAACTAATTAAATTGCATGTGTGACATCCAATTTTCATATCTACCCTATTCCCATCGTACTTTCATTTAGCAAGCCCCTCTAAATAACCTCCATTCCCTCATCTCCTCTAATCCAGCAAGAAAATGAACGAAAGTTGGGTTTATTTTAAAAACATTTTGGCTATCTGGAACGCACAGCAGCAAAATTTATATTAAAGAAATAATTTGCAGACATTTTTAAATAGCTACAGTAACCCGGTGGAAATTTGCATTGAAAACGAGCTCTCAAAAGGGAAAAATGAGAAAAAGCTAAAAAAAAGTCCCGTGGGTGTAACATGTCACTCTTTTTTTTGGGCCTAGGCAAGGTCTAGAGTCCATCCTGGACCCTGGGTCTCAGTTTAAACTCGATGAACCGGGAAAAGTTGGGAAAAGTTGGGAAAAGAAAGAAAATCCCTTTGAAATCACTTGTTTCCAGGTCTCAATGGGTGCACTGGCCGAGAAAACTCTTGATGGAATCCGAAAAGATGTTGCTTTGACATTAATGGTAACTCTATACCGACAATGAATAGTAATGGATAACTGTTCTAGTCGAAATCTAGAAGAGTCAAAATCTAGCAGATCTAAGTATTGAATTAGGTAGTGTGACATCCAGGATTGACTTTAGTAGCTGATGGGCTAGCTACAATGATCTGGTCTTGACTAAAAGTACGGTAGCTTTGAGCAATGGATAACTGTTCTAACTAAAGTCGAAATCTAGCAGATCTAAGTATTGGATTAGGTAGTGTGACATCCAGAATGAGCATTTCCCTTTAGGATCACGGAATCCCGCACGTGGATGCGCATCGAATCGTCGAGCATGCCGTTCCCGAGCAATCACCCGGTAGGAGACGACTTTCTGAACTTCTAGATAGATAGGATCGCTGATCTGGAACGCACACAACATTCTCGTTTAGGTGAAACCTGGCCGGTGTGCGATTTGCAGATCCTCATGGAAGAGCTGCGTCAAATGGGAGTCAAGATGGCCCTCTGCACAGCTGACAGCAGGTGATTTTTTTTGTTCGTTTTGGCGACTATGGATGTCACGCCGTCTATTCTCGACTTTAGAACCGCGACAATGGCTCAAATGAAATTGTTGAGAATCGAGCATTATATGGATCACATTGTGAGCGTTTTTTCATTGGAGATTAGCGTCTAAATTCAAATTTAGGTTTGTGGAAACGATCAGGGGATTATCCCGAAGCCATCGCCGCATTGTGCTGTACAGATTTGCAAGAAGTTGAATGTCGAGTTGAAGGTACAAATCGAAGCACAGTACTAATTTTTGTTTCAAGAAAACTATTGAATCTAGTGATCAAAAAAGCTCATGTGACTTCCAGCTTAGCCATTTTTTCATACGAGTTCTTGTAAAAGTGATGGGAAAGCCCCAGGGGAGGCCCAATCTTCTTTCAACCCCCATTCATCTCCTCCCCCTGGGACCTCTTGTCTCCCATCTCCCTTCAGGCTTCGTTTTTTTCTTCAGAAAAATGACCGACGAGTTCTAAATCGCATTCTTGAACATAAAACAAGCAAGAAAATCCAAAATTTACTCGTTTTTAGGACGCGATCATGGTTGGAGACACAATTGCTGATTTGAAAATGGGAAGAGTGGCTGGTGAGTGAATTTTTGGGGGTTCTGGAAGTCACACTATACTTTAAATTCATGATCAAATCATTTTCTTCATTTTAGGACTTCGTGCCAGTGTTGGAGTCCTGACTGGAGTCGGAAATCGTGACTCGCTCTCGCAGTACACTGACTACTTTGTGAGTGCTTTTTCTAAAGCTGTGACATCCATAATCGACGAATATGACTTTATTTTTGTAAGATTTTTTCTTTAAATGGGTTTCTAGATCGAGAACGTCTCCGAGTTGCCTGGACTCATCAACAACAAGATAAACGAGGACACGAAACGAGGATAGAGGAGAAATAAGGATCTTGAAAGGATTCTAAAAGGATCCTGAAAGAATTCTAAAAGATTTTCTAACATTCCTAACATTGCCGAGAAGCTAGTTTCGTTTTCCCCAATCCACTGTGTAAAAAAAAGCGATTTTCTTAATCGCGACCGTCATTTATGAGTTTTTAGAGGGCTGTCGGACGTCACCAATGGCTCAGTCGGTTAGAGGTTTGGTTGGGAGTCGATCAACCCTGAGAGACCAGCTGGGTTCGATCCCAGCCTCGGTCTTTTTCGGAAATTTTTTGTCGGAAACTAATTCCAATCAATTCTAAGCCATTTGTGACATCCAGAACTCCCAATTTTCTTCTTTTCATTGATCTCTTTAGTTTAATTAAAGAAAAAAACCGGTAGTCTTGAAAATTTCTAGTCAAAAATTGGATTTTCAATGTTTAAAGCAAGTTCAAACCAAAATCAACTCCAAATCAATTGCATTACAATCAATCCCCCAATTACAATCAATTCTTGATCTCGTAAAGCCAAATTTCAACCGATTTTAGCGATTTTTTTTTGTGATTAGTTTTGTGCTTGATTAAAGAGAAATTTAAAAGTGCTATTTTTTTATTTGATGACTTTTTGATCCTTTTTCTTCATTAGAATACTTTGTACATAGAGATTTCTTTTGGAAAATCCCATTTTCTCCTTGAATTCTCCATTTTCGATGAAGCATTCCGTTTTCGTGGCACTCGGTTCGTCACCTCTCCAGAAAACTTGCAATAATAAAGTTTCTTGTGAAAAGTTTTCAAAGCAATGCACAATCTGGATGTCACACAAGAGAATAAGCATCAATTTATCGTACAATAGCATCAAATTGGTCAATCGTTTTCTCGTCGGTTCGTTACCCCTTCAGAAAACTTGTAATAATAGAGTTTCTAGTGAAAGTTTTTTAAAGCAATGCACGATCTGGATGTCACAGAGTACGATAAGCATCAATTTATCGTACCCTAGCATCAATTTAGTCAGTCGCTTTTCTGTCAGTTCATTACCCCTTCAGAAAACTTGTAATAATAAAGTTTCTTGTTAAAACTTTTGAAAGCAATGCACGATCTGGATATCACAGAGTACGATAAGCACCAATTTACGGTACCCTAGCATCTTTTTTCAGATACTGTCCCATAGCTGTCAGCTGCCAGAGGTGTACTTTGTACTTCCGCGTAAACAATCGCCTTCTGGCACAAAGCAATGCTCAATCTGGATATCACAGAGTACGACAAGCACCAATTTACGGTACCCTAGCATCAGGTTATTCAATCGTTTTCCTGTCAGTTCGTTACCCCTTCAGAAAACTTGTAATAACAAAGTTTTTTCTGAAAACTTTTAAAAGCAATGCTCAATCTGGATATCACAGAGTACGATAAGCACCAATTTACGGTAGCCTAGCATCTTTTGTCAGATACTGTCCCATAGCTGTCAGCTGCCAGAGGTGTACTTTGTACTTTCGCGTAAACAATCGCCTTCTGGCACAAAGCATTACCCGATCTGGATGTCACAAAGTACGATAAGCACCAATTTACGGTACCCTAGCATCAATTTAGTCAATCGTTTTTCTGTCAGTTCGTTACCCCTTCAGAAAACTTGTAATAATAAATTTTTTTGTGAAAACTTTTAAAAGCAATGCTCAATCTGGATGTCACACAGTAGGATAAACATCAAGTTTTTTTCTCCTTGTCCATTCTCCTCACCAATTTCAAATAGACTCAGATATTTTATGAGAAAAGAGAAATTTCTTTGTTTTATCAAGAAAAGAGGTTTTCTTCTTCGCTTTCTTTTTCGTTTACTTCAAGTGAAACCGATTTGTTGATTGGAACGACGAGATTTTCTCTCTTTTCTCTTTTTTCCTTCATTTTTTGTCATCATCAAGATCTTTCACTTTCTCCTTTTCACTCACTTTCATCAAAACGATGTCTAGCGTTTATTTCTTCCACCATTGGTTGTAGTGCGTTCCAGAACGGTCAAAAAATAACTTTACAACGGGAATTTATAACAGAAACAATTTGAAACAAGTTGGGTAACAAAATTGAAATCAATCGCTATTTCAAACAATCGTCAAACGCTTATTTCTGGAGTCATTCTCTGTTGTGACTGCCAGAACGATAAGAAATCAAGAATTCAGAAGAGATTTTCGTTGTTAAAATGATTTTAACGCAACCAACATGAACAGCTCTCAAACAATCACTTTTTTCGATTTAATTTGCAATCATTTCTCACGTTAATTCGTTTCTTTCTTTTCTTTCTCTCTTTTCATTCATCAAGGTCAATCGAGAGGCTTAGGCTCAGCTTTCAGTTCTCATTCATTCAGTCATTCCATCAGTCAGTCAATTCTCAAGCCTTGTCTTTCTAATCTCAACTCTAACCTTCGATTCTTTCAAGTTCTCCTAGCTCAATAATCTCTTTTTTTAGCGATTCTAAGATAAGATAGAAGATAGAAGACCGTTTCTAGTCTTTCTTAGCTCTTTTTTGACAATTTGAAAATTTTTGACTGAGACCGGAATCGAACCCGAGCCAAGTAGCTGGCGTTCGCCTGGAAACATCGATTTCCCCACTGCGCCATGCCGTCTAGGTTCTCAATTCAATTTTTAAATAGCAGAAAATTTGACCTGCGTTCCAGATTAGAAACTGCCAAAATCTTGAGATCGCTAGCTTTCTAGAAAATCGTTTTCCTAGGGTGAAGTTGACTTCAGCCCGATTTCTCCGTCATTTTCAAATGTTTCTCAAATATTTTAGTATATTTCACTGATCTGGAACGCACATGAGATTTTGGATAGCAAAATCGAAATGATTACCTTACAGAGACTGATGTGTCAGAGCCGAGCGGACTTCAGCTCCGATTTCTCCGTCATTTTTAAATGTTTCTCAAATCTTACCGACTATTTCACTGATCTGGATGGCACATGAGACAATTTTCCATTTCATTTTTGTCATTTTTGAGCTTTGAAAAGTTTTTGACCCAGCCCGGACTCGAACCCGAGCCAAGCAAGAGGCTTTCGCCTGGGAACGTCGATTTTCCCACTGCGCCATGACGTCGATGTTCTGAATTTAATTTTTAAATGGCGGAAAATTTGAGCTGACTTCCAGATTAGAAACTGCCAAAATCTTGAGATCGCTAGCCTTCTAGAAACTTGTTTTTTAAGGGTGAAGAGAAAAAGTGACCTCTAACATCTCAAAAATCGTCAAAAATTCGATCAAAGCTCAAGCAAATCTTGTAAATAAACCGTTTCCTAAACAATTCCCTTCAGAAGAAGCGCTTTATTAAGCTTTTATTAAGCTTTTATTGAGCTTTTATTGAGAACGATTTTTGAGATTTTTGATTTTTCGGTGATTTTCTCAATTTTTTTGCGATTTTTGAAAAATCGTTCAAAACACTTTCCCAATTTTTCCTCTTCTCGTCCTTGAAATCTAAAAATGACAAGAGAAAATGACAGGAGAAAATGACAGATTTTTCCCAAAAATTCCCCCAACTTTTCTCCTTTTTTTTTTTGTGAAAAGAGAGATCTTTTGTCTCATTTCTCCCTCTTTTTCCCATTGTCGAATGATTTTTTCCCATTTTCCCCATATTTTTTTGATCGTTTCCCTATCTGCCAACATTTTTTAAATCAATTTTTGACAAATAACGTCATTTAAAAGTCATTTTAGCTTTTTCTAAAAATTTTTGACCCAGACCGGACTCGAACCCGAGCTAAACAGTCAGTGTTCGCCTGGAAACATCGATTTTCCCACTGCGCCATGTCGCCAATGTTCTGAATTCAATTTTTAAATGATGGAAAATTTGAGCTGAGTTCCAGATTAGAAACTGTCGAAATCTTGAGATTTTTAGTTTTCTAGAAACTTGTTTTTTAGGGGTGAAGTTGACTTCAGCCCGATTTCTTCGTCATTTTCAAACGTTTCTCAAATATTATAGTATATTTCACTGATCTGGAACGCACATGAGATTTTGGATAGCAAAATCGAAATGATTACCGTACAGAGACTGATTTGTCAGAGCTGAGCGGACTTCAGACCGATTACTCCGTCATTTTTAAATATTTCTCAAATCTTATCGACTATTTCACTGATCTGGAACACAGATGAGCCAGTTTTTCATTTAATTTCTGTCATTTTTGCGCTTTGAAAAATTTTTGACCCAGCCCGGACTCGAACCCGAGCCAAGTAGCGGGCGTTCGCCTGGAAACATCGATTTTCCCACTGCGCCATGCCGTCTAGGTTCTGAATTAAATTTTTAAATGGTGGAATATTTGAGCTGCGTTCCAGATTAGAAAATGGCAAAATCTTGAGATTACTAGCTTTCTAGAAACTTGTTTTGTTAGGGTGAAGTTGACTTCAGCCCAATTTCTCCGTCATTTTTAAGTTTTTCTCAAATCTTATCGACTATTTCGCTGATCTGGAACGCACATGAGACAATTTTCATAAAAAAGTTCACAAAAGATCCAAAAAAAGAGCCAAACGATGATCGACTCACTCAAAAATGACATTTCACTTTTCACTCGTTTTTTTTTCGGAAAACGAACGCCACCTGTTTCTATTTTGATGTGCCAAACCGTCTGCGTTTACGAGAAACCCCAATAGGAAACCCAATTTTTGTTAAATTGTATGATTTTCTCTTTTCTCAAAGCCTTCCCAACACTTGCTCGCCCCCAATGAGTCACTTCGGCCCGATTTCTCCGTCGTTTTACAACTTTTTCCAACTTTTTTCTAACTTTTTTGCTGATCTGGAACGCACACAATTGTTTGAATCAAAAAATTTTCGATTATCTAAAATTTAAAATTTTTTCAGCAATGGGCCGCTTAGTGTGGCTCATTTTCGCGATTTTTCTCGCATTTTCACAAAAGTGCCAAGGGAAAATCGAGGAAAACGACGTAAATGAGGGGTTTGTTTTGTCACTTTTCTTCATTTCTTTGAAAGAAAAACGATAAAACCGCTTTTTTTTTTTGCCATTTTCGGCATTTTCGACCGGTTTTTATCGAAAA